TATCAGCCTCTTCAGTTTCTGAAGATACATGCTAGACTGACATGCAATGGAATCCGTTTTTCCATCAATGTGTTGTACAGGGTGTTTCTTAAATACGTGTAGAAAATTCAGGAGCATGTTGCTGGCGTCAAAATAAGGAGGAAGGTACGTATAAATATATGTCCGAAAGTTATTCGTTTCTGAGATACAGAGTGTCAAAGTTGAAGGTAAAACTGCATTTAGCATGCGATGGGTTTTTTTTTTCGAAAATTTTTGTTGCTACTTACGTATTTTTGTCTGAAAAACACGAATTTGATAATGAAAATGTGAACAAACCATTATATATAAAGATATTTTACTATAAAGTTATAAATCTCACCTTCTTTTCCGCCTGTCTTCTGGATTGAATTTAAAACAATTTACACTTCTTTTTTCATCATTGGACAATTTATATATATCACAATGTAAGACACATTTTTTTCTATTATTGAGTCAACTAGAAATATGATTTTCTTGTGATTAATCCATATTTAGTGAAAAGAAGGAAGAATATTATTTGCAATAATGGCGTGTGTAATGTCATTCAAAAACACTTTGTTGACATTTGACATCTCGTATTTGGATTGACTATTAATTAAATGGCCGTCATCTGGTATGCTTGTTCACTGAATATGAAAAACTCACCATAAAAATCATATTTCCTGTTGAATTTTCTGTATAAAAATGTTTCATTGAAGTACATCATGAGTATATAAAGTGTCCAATGACAAAATAAGAAGAGCAAGTACCTGTAAATGCATCCAACACAAGGGGAAAAAGGAGTCGAAATTTCGAACTTTTTTTGAAATATCTCGATAAATAGTGATTTGTTCACATTATCATTGTCAAATTCGTGTATTTAGGACAAAAATACGTAAGTACCAAAAAAAAAAATTCGAAAAAAAATCCATCGCATGCTAAATGCTGTTTTACCAAGTTGAATTCTTATTTTTGTTTTTTGTTGATAAATTTCAATATAATTGTGATATATTAGAATAAAGTTTGGTATCTAGGGGTATTTTTCAATGATAATATCAAATTTCATGTTAGTTTGTCTCTTTCGTGGGAGTGGGGCCCCCTACATGTCTTTTGAGTCTTTTGAAGAGTGATAACTTTTTTGTGTGTACCTGTATCACGTTTCATAGTAGAAAAATAGATTTCATAAATTTGAGATTGACAAAAATCGAAAATAAGAATTCAACTCTGACACTCTGTATCTCAGAAACGAAGAACTTTCGGACATATATTTATACGAACTTTTCTCCTTATTTTGACCTCAGCAACATGCTCCTGAATTTTCTACACGTACTTAAGGAACACCCTTTATATTTCATGTTCCACGGATTCCATCATAAATTCTATTGTCTGCTAAATATGGAGAAAAAATCTAGTGAGCTGGATAATACAGCTAAATTACATCAGAAAATTGGTGACGTCACGACAAAAAAGCGCATCCATCAGTATCAGTGCGGACTTCCTTCGATGGAATGAAAAAGACATCCGAAATAACCGGAACTTATCCCAAAGAAACATGTACATTGAGGCGGATTCATATGCCATCTGATCCACAGTTTAACGTACTGGTTTTTAATCTGTGCCAATTTCAGGTCAATTCCTGATGAATGTTCTGAAATGTTCACAATTTTTCAGTATACATTTCTGACATGTCTGCTCAATTTTAAATTAGTATTCTTCAAACGTCCAACTTAGGAATATAATTTACTTCCAATTTAGCATAACTCTCACTTTCAAATATAATGAAAACCTCATTCACATGTGAATACCTACTTGTTCTCCCACCATGTCCTTATTATATTGTCATATACGGGTGGCGGAAATTTGATCGAAAGACAAATGATAGAAAAACATTAGATAGAAGTCTTTTGATCGAATGTGTTTTTGATAGAAATGCATTTGATCGAATGTTTCATGATAGAAAATACATTTGATAGGAAAAATATTTGATAGAAAATACACTTGATAGAAAATTCAACGGGGCTACGTTCAAGTTCAATTCAATTCAATTCAAAATATACTTTATTGTCTTAAGTTATCACTTGTTGACAAAGCTTGTTATACACATAAAATACATAAAAAATAAATAAATGAACAACACTAGTTTTAAAATAACACACTTGTTGACAACACTTGAAATGTATATAAATAAATAAAAATAAATTAATCCAACAGACAAAATAGATAATGTAAATATATATACACACAGCAATTTGAGAGACTCTAGTTAAAGCTTCGCAGAAAATATTCAGTCAAGTTGTACAATGATGTTTGTAGAAGTAATGCTTTCACCTTAGTACGGAATTTTTTATAACATGCGATTCCTTTTATGTCATTTGGCAGATGATTGTATATTTTTATTCCAGAGTAAATAATAGAATCCTTAATCATAGTGGTGCGGGGGATTATCAATTTTATTTGACCGCTCTGTCTTGTATTATATCGTGAGGAGACAAGAGGGAAAGACCGTATATTCTTGTAAATCAGAGAAGCTGTTTCCAAGATATATAAAGAAATCACAGTTAGTATACCACAATCCCTAAACAACTCTCTACAAGAATCTGTTGATTTTGCATGGCACATATATCTGAGAGCTCTCTTTTGTAACATGAAACTCCTTTGAAATAATTGGTTACTACAGCTTCCCCAGAACGCTATTCCATATCTCAGGTGGGACTCAAGTAGGGCGAAGTATGTTGTTCTGGCAGATGCATACCCTAATTCAGAGGCAATTGTTCTGATGGCATAGCATCCAGATGCTAGCTTTTTACACATAGATATTACATGGTCATTGAACATCAACTTGTTATCGATATGTAAACCTAAAAATCTTGTTGATGTTCTATTTTCTAATATGTCATTACCGATTTCCAAGTTTGGGACATTACAATGGAAAGTCAGAATATTGGTTTTCTTAATGTTGAGAGAAAGTAGGTTTGAGTCACACCAGTCTTTGATTACTTTTATATCTCGCATCACATTCGTGTATAATCTCTCATCATTATTATCTTGCCATAAAATAGTGGTGTCGTCCGCAAATAACGTGATTTCGCCTTTTATATCAAGAAATGCCATATCATTAATGTATAAGAGGAATAAGATTGGCCCTAGGACTGATCCTCGGACTGATCCTTATTGAGGCACACCATGATTTATCTGCGCGGTCTCTGAGGTAGTGTTTGTTTTAACAACTTGTTGACGACCGGTCAGGTAGGTCTTAAACCATTGGATCTTATTGTCTGTGAAGCCGTAGTGGTGCAGCTTCCGCAGCAGTATTTCGTGATTTACGCAGTCGAATGCTTTGGAGAAATCACAGAATACTGCCGCAGCAGCTGCTCCCCTGTTTAGGCTAGAATATACCTTGTCCATAAAAGAAAAGATAGCATCATTTGTGCTCTTTTTTGGCTGGAACCCAAATTGTCGATCTGTAAGTATATTATTCGCAGTTAAATACTCCAACATTCGGATTTTAACCAGCTTCTCAATAATTTTAGCTAAAGTGGGTATAAGCGCAATAGGACGGTAATTATTGGGATCCAAAGAATCACCACCTTTATAAATAGGGATAATTATTGAAGTTTTCAGAATAGCTGGAAAAATACCTTTTCTGAACGATTCATTGATGAGGATTACAAGTACCGCTAATGCTGAGTCGGGGAGATTTAGAAAAACATTTGCAGATATTTCATCAATTCCAGCTGTATTTTTTTTCTTTATTTTCATTATAACCGATTTCAATTCGATGATGTTAGTACTGGTTAGCTGGAATTCATTATTAAATTCAATCGGCATCATATTCTCAAGGGGATCATTGATCTTCTGTACATTAGTAGTTAGGCGTTCAGCAATGGTACAGTAATGTAAGTTAAGGGTGTCAGGATTCATTGAGGTCGTGTGGATATTTGATTTACCTCTGAGATCATTGATCACCCTCCAGCTTTCTTTGATTGGGTTACCAGCATAGTTAGGTCAGTACGTTTGTGAAGATATGATCCTTACTTCTAGCTCCTTCTCAAATATATGAGGAAGGATCATATCTTCACAAACGAACTGACCTAACTTGAGCGTAGCCCCGTTGAATTTTCCATCAAATGCTGTTTCTATCAAGTGTATTTTCTATCAATTTTTTTTTATCAAATGAATTTCCTATCATTTATGTTTCTATCAAATGTATTTTCTATCATTAAACATTCGATCAAATGTATTTTCGGTGAAAAGTTCTTTCTATTTTTTGATTTTCGAAAAAATACTTCTATCAAATGTTTTTCTATCATTTGTCTTTCGATCAAATTTCCGCCTCCTGTCATATACATATATAAAAAAATGGCATTGAATTTCAAAATATCGGTATTTCTTCTTATATGATTCGTTCCGACGAAAAATTAAATATTTCCTTTTCCTTTTGCAAGTTTTGCACAAGAAATTACTCAGTAGATGAATAATTTGGACTTACCTGAAAATAAACTTCACACCAGTCAACTCCAGAATATAGAAAATGCTGTTTTTTCCAAGACTCAATTTTTTCTTAATGAACACCTTTTCTAATGGATCCCAAATTTCTCCCAGTGGGAACAAGAAGTCTCAAATTACTCCTATTTCCTGTAAATTTATAAAAAGTAATGACAAATAATCAATTACTTTGGAATGAGAATAAATTCTCAGAATTCTCTTACCAGTCTTAGCTTCATGGAACCCTATTGATAGGTGCTTTTTTGGTGTAGATTAGTATTTTGAATTTTCTTTTTCATCAAACTCTTCGGGTATTCCAGTTCAATTTCAATTTTGAATAGAGTTGAAGTTTTCGAATCTGCTAAGGATAAAAACCTGGATGTCAGAGTGAACGTTTAGACATTTTAGAATATTGTTTTATTCGGTTTCTCTTCCTGGTGTTTCTGGACTTTGGTATAATATCCAAAACTTCTCTATGTAGGATGTAGGTTTACAGGATGATTAAGACCATGTAAATTCTGATGTAAGTATAAAACTTAAGTCATCCAACTTTATTACATACAACTATAAATCACATATAAAATAAACATTTACATTAGAGTTTACTCTTGCACTTATTCATTTATCAACGGGAGGAATCCTGTAAGTCCTTGTCTTATGCAGGAATGATAGCTATCTTCTTTTATTTTCCGAACTCCTCCTAGTAAACATAGTTAAGGATATATCTTTTATAAGTAGGTTTCAACATGAATATAATGGCAAATTATTCACTCCAAGTGAATTCAACTTTTCAATTAGACTTGGATGTTTTTTTGATATGCCACAATATATTCCTTAGAAATAAGAATTTCCAAGTTTTTTCATTTTGTGGTTCATAAAAAAAGACCCTTGATAAAGGCACAAGCACCACCTATTATCAATCTGAAATCATAATAAGTATATTGCAATTAGATAATATCCTGATAAGATACGAGAATGGGTAAGTTTCCACTATTAAGGTTTCTATCTCACTGTGAAGTTTGTAAAACTGTAATACATAGGTACGTTTTTTTTTTGTAAGATCAAACACTTCAGAAAAAAATAAATGAAGAAGGGACTTGACACCTTCACCATTCCTATGACATACTTTATGAAAAGTCACATTCACACAGTTTCCCTGTGACAGTACGACTTTGCCGGCATCATCAATATGTCTAGATATTTGGAAATTGTTCTTTGAATATATTATACTTATATCATAACAGCAATAGGATATAATAGGTTTATAATAATAATTTGCATAAATCTCTTATTTGCTAGATGAAGTAGATTACTAATAAAGATAAATTATGATATTTTGCGATAGTATCTATGATTTTTCACTTTCGTTATATTACGAAGTGGTAATCATAACTTGTCTTATTGCCCGACATTTTTTGAGTACATGAAGTTTTAAAGAAAATTCATGTACGAAGGGGATTCGGTAAGAAAATTTTATACCGGAGAACATTAAGTGAATATTTACTCTCCCTGTACCCTAGTAAAATAAAATTCATAGTATCAGATACATTATTATATAATAATAAATGATTTTATATGATTTTCTTACTAGGTTTCCGGGAAATAAAAAATATTGTCAAAATTATTTCAATTTTGTCTAATTATATGATAGCTGTCATGTGGATGAAAAATGTCCAACAAATTTGTGGTTACCATAGAACAATGTCGAAATAAAGTATCTGATTGGTTGAAAATGACAGTATGAAATTTTCTTCTAAATATACAGAACATAATATAATAAATAATATTATAATAAAGTGGTTGGTAACATTGATAAAGAATAATATGAATATTCAATTATTATTCAAAGCAGAAGCTCTCTATAAGATTCACTTGTACAGATAAATTATTGGAATATCAACAGGGAACAGTAATATATCAACTCAAAATGGTTGCCACATTAGGAAATTGAATTTTCTGTTAAAATAGCGGAAGTTGCAACTTTCCGGGACTAAGAGAGTTTGGACAAATGGCTGAGAATTATTTGAAATAAGGATGTAGACATCATCATATCAAACTTTAAAGCTATCATGAAACTTACCAGCAAATTGAATCATAAATGTCTGAAGTACTAGTGAAGTAGTAGCTGAGGTTTCCAATATTTTAGAGACAACAATGATTGATGATTGATTGTTCTTCACATTATAATCACAGATCGTAGTGGAACTTCGTTCAAAAGATTTTGCAATTTAATTTTGAGGTTAATGGTTATCGTTTATTCTTCTTGTTTTTCTAATTCTCTTACTTCTTCCTATTCCATTCAGACAATTTGCTTATTTGTTTGATATTGTTAAAATCTTTAAATTTAATTTCCGATAAAGAACACTCCATGGCTGACTTTTACCAGACAGTTTGATATCATCAACTTGAAAACCCATTAGAGATAAAAAAATCGAACAATACTAATTTGACATCTTACAAATGTCAATATTGGTTTTTAAAAGGATATTGTTTGTCTCTCGGTTCAGATTTCTCATGCGATCTATCTCTTGGATATGGTGATATTTCCTAAAAATAAAATCAAGCAATAACACATGTTTAGTTTGTTCGAAAAAAAGTATAATGGCATGTACCCTTGTTCGGTGGTGTTTCTCTCGAGGAAGAGCTGGAGGTTCAATAAGCTCCCCATTTGGTGACATCTTGGTAACTAAAACATGAGACAACAATAATTATTTTTGCAAGTCAATAATGCAATCTAAATTACCTTTGTCCTCTTCCCTACGTCTCTTCATTTCCAGTTGGACAGCTTCCTCCAATCGATCCTGTAACAGTACATGTCAATAAAATCAGTTCTGAAAATATAAGAAAATCAAAAAATTAGAAACACTTGAGACTATCTGTGACGATTGCGGCAAAACATATGTAGTGCAAACTGGGAGATCTATGCCAACTAGATTCAAGGAACATGAATATCAGAAAATCAAGTGTAGTGGAACAGAAGGAAATTTATAGATCAAAACTATTAACCACTTACCCTCTTCCTACCAAGTTTCCGTTCTTTCCTAATCTCCTTCTCTTCCTCTGTCATTTTCTCTCGCTTTTCTTTAGGTTTGGCTGTACGTTCTCTCTTGTCAACTTTTTCAGTAAAGAATTCTCCCGACTTGCGGTCATCGTGTTTGGAATTCTGCAGACAACCATGGTATTGGTATCAGAGGTGACTGTACCAAATCGATGGTACAAATTCTTCTGACAGTCAAATTTATGATTTGGAATTGATTGTGAGGCTTCTGGTTCATGTAACAGTGTACATAAAATACGGTAGGAAATAATGGTACTCATTAAATGACACAGCCATATGATTCAGTCAATATTCCACTGTCAATTTGCATTTTGAAATGGTAAGATATAGCTCATTAGCTGATGACATTCCTTCTCCAGATTGAATAATAAGTATCATAATAATAGTTTATATAATCATTATGCAAATGGCACCGGAAACAAAACAACTATGAAAAAATCCCACCAAACATATATAATTATGCTGATAAACAATTTTGGCCACCTTTCAACTGATACATTGTAAACATAAAATGAAGAAATCTGAATTTTGAGTTCACAGTATAGTTATTCTCGTATCCAGTGCGCGAATCGCATAAAGGATTTGCAAACAACATTATTTCTACAAATATAAAAAAATATAGTTCCAAAGTGGTAATTAGAGTTCTTAAATGTTCTTGACACTGCTCTTTTGACGTTTTTTGTATATTAGAGTATGGACACTAGACAAGCAGTAACAATCAAACATAACCACAAACGATTTTGAAGCAAATCATATGTTTTGTGAGACAAGGACAAGAATATGTTTTTCGCTTAGATAAAGGTTCCTTGCATCTTCCATCCTCCACAAGTCCTGGGGAGATTACATCCATATATCTTTCTCTGTCTTTGATTTTTGTATGAGAGGGCATATCGTCTCCTCGAGTGGGAAAAGGGTACGATGTATTGATTAGAAAATAATTATTTGAATGATAAGGCTGAAGGACCTCAATGGAGGTCGATATCAAGTTAGTAGGTACATAATATATAACAACGAAATACATATAGTATTCCTATGAAATTAGTCTCTCATATGTAGGTATATAAATTCGTTCAGTTGAATATTTGTTTATCACAAAAGTTCAGAATGGGGTAAAAACTGATGAATTACAAGAAACATACTTTTATTAGTACAAAAGAGTGGTAAGTTATAAGTAATTAATGAATAAACAAATGATATGGCAACAATAACAGCTGATTTCAATTAGGATAAATAATATAGGTTCTCCAAGACATATGGAAGTAGGTATAAATGGACTTCAGCGATCGACTCACTATAGATCGCCGTTCACATTGCTAAAAGGGATTGTTTTGAACCCGGCTATCGGAAGATCTTTTTCAATACCTAACATAAATGGTACACTTGTTAAGCGTTCTTGTTCTGTGATCTGATAATATCTTGCTTGTATGCACTAGATGCTATGTAGTCGTCTAGCACTTCTCAACTACGCATGAACATGCACATTCAGACTTGGGATTTCAACTTTGAAGAAGTGATACACGAACAATATATTCAACTCTTTGATATAGATACATCAATATCTGGTTCATCAGAGTTCCACAAAGTGACTATATGTTTTCACAAAATTATTATGAGTTCGTATACGAAGATGATCTAAAGAATTCTTGGTTGAACAGGAATGTGAAATCAGTTTGAGTCAGTCAATTCAGGAAGTTTCTGCTATTTCATCATCAGATTATCTCCATGGTGGCTATTGTGATCTCTGCTCCATCATTCCATAACAAGCAATAACCAGAGTCTAAATTGGAATAAGGTTCTTTTCGATACTCGCTCAGTTTATAAATTGTGGGTTCGGCTCTTTCTCTCAATACGATCCTATTCTTCAACTTTCTACCAAGAAATTTAAATACCTTGCAAATTTTGTGGCCTGAACCTATATTCCATGCCAGCTGGATCATATTCTGTATCCATTTTTGTAGAATTACGTTATCCGATGGAAATTCGAAAAGAGTGAATTGATTTCCCGTGTTCTCACAGTTGGAAACTGCACAAACTTGCATCTTTCTGCTAATTCTCTCAATTTGTGTACTGTCAGTTTCTGCCTTTTCCATCAATTTATTTGTGGTTATGTATGATTGTCAGTGCTTGTCATAGTGTCCGTACTCTGATATACAAAAAACGTCAAAATCAGCAGTGTCAGGTACATTTAGGAACTCTATACCTTTTCAACTTCAATTTCGGAATCGGTGAGTTATATTTCGGAAAAAGTAATCTCGATTTCAGAATTGGTTAGTTCGATTTCAGAAATGGTAATCTCAATTTCAGAATCGGTGAGATGAATTTCAGAAAAAGTCCATTCAATTTCAGAAATGGTAAGTTGTATTTCAGAATTATTATTGGTAGGTTCAATTTCAGAAGATTAAATCCTTTTATATGTTTGAAATGTTTTTAATTGCAAAAGAGAAGAGTGTTTACAGTGGATGAACGGTGTTTGAGAGCCCTATGTAGAATCAGATTTTGAACATATATGGGGTGCCTTCAAGTCAGAAGTGAAGAGTTTCTTGCAAGAGCATCGCCAAAGGGTCATAGCTGGGGATCCGAACAGCTTGCTCAACCTGATAGAATTCAGACTGCGATGTCTTGAGGAATGTGCAGATCATTCAATGAAAATGATAACACCTCAAATGTGTTTGCATTCTCATAATCATGTGCAACGCTATTATCTTCCAGCGACTCGGATGGAAGGCATCTGTTGATTAAATTGAGATTATAATTATGTTAATGAATTGGTTTTGACAAGTTGAATATTGTATATTGGTTTGTTAATCTCACATACAATTGGAAACATTTCAAACAAATATAAGGATTTTTTTTCTGAAATTGAACCTACCAATTCTGAAATACAACTTACCATTTCTGAAATTGAATGGACTTTTTCTGAAATTCATCTAACCGATTCTGAAATTGAGTTTACCATTTCTGAAATCGAACTAACCAATTCTGAAATCGAGATTACTTTTTCCGAAATTGAAGTTGAAAAGGTATAGTGGTAATATGCTAAGCTTAATATATAAAAAAATAGTGTTGAACTATCTTAAAAAGCCTTAATGATTGTTGAACATTTAGAATGAAATGATTTCTGGGGTGTTTGCTGGATTGAGGACCATAAAGGTTATAATACAAAAATCTCATATAATTTAGATGCAATGCGTGAGCACATTGTCATAGTAACATAGGAAACTGAACCTTGTCATTATGTCATTTTTTGACATTTATTTTGTAGAAAAATTATATTTGAACCTGAAAAAAATGTGCATATTCATCAGAAAGTTGAAACAATATCCTTAGCTGAAATAATAAAATTTTGAATGAGAATGGTTCATTCAATCAAGCATGTCTATTCTAACATTTTAAAAATTTTCAACTTCCAGGGTACAATTAATCAATCAATCACAAGTGTCACATCAAATGCCAAATTAAGTAAACCAACATACATCAACATTTAGATCTTGAAGGAAAACAAATTCAAATTGCATTGATCATTCATAGAACTATACCTTTTCAACTTCAATTTCAGAATCGGAAAAAGTAATCTCGATTTCAGAATTGGTTAGTTCGATTTCAGAAATGGTAAACTCAATTTCAGAATCGGTGAGATGAATTTCAGAAAAAGTCCATTCAATTTCAGAAATGGTAAGTTGTATTTCAGAATTATTATTGGTAGGTTCAATTTCAGAAGATGAAATCCTTTTATATGTTTGAAATGTTTTTAATTGCAAAAGAGAAGATTGTTTACAGTGGGAACGGTGTTTGAGAGCCCTATGTTGAATCAGATTGAACATATATGGGGTGCCTTCAAGTCAGAAGTGAAGAGCTTCTTGCAAGAGCATCGCCAAAGGGTCATAGCTGGAGATCCGAACAGATTGCTCAGCCAGATAGAATTCAGACTGCGATGTCTTGAAGAATGTGCAGATCATTCAATGAAAATGATAACACCTCAAATGTGTTTGCATTCTTATAATCATGTGCAACGCCACTATCTTCCAGCGAGTCAGATGGAAGGCATCTGTGGATTAAATTGTTTTTGAAAAGTTGAATATTTTAAATATGGTTTGTTAATCTCACATGCAATTGGAAACATTTTGAACAAATATAAGGATTTTTTTCATGATATTGAACCTACCAATTCTGAAATACAACTTACCATTTCTGAAATTGAATGGACTTTTTCTGAAATTCATCTCACTGATTCTGAAATTGAGTTCACCATTTCTGAAATCGAACTAACCAATTCTGAAATCGAGATTACTTTTTCCGAAATATAACTTATCGATTCCGAAATTGAAGTTGAAAAGGTATAGTACTGAAAATTATTGTTGAAAGTTGATAAGTATATTGGTATAAAATTAACTGTCTTCAATTAATAAGAATATAGCTCCAGTTGACATAATATACATTTTTTTCTCCATTCCACGTTGAAGAACATACAGGATGACACAAACAAAATATGTTTTGGAAAATGATAGTTGAAATGATGTAGTAAAATTCAAATAATCGACAGATGAAAGTTCTAGAAGAAATTTCTATAGTTTATGCAAAGTCAGTTGGAAAAACACATCACTGCAAGCTGTCAGTCCCTATACAAGTTCAAAAAGTGCGGCAACGCGGCCCGACATTCATCTGATGATCTGTTCAACTGACTTTGCATAAACTTTACCACTGAACTGAAGAATTTGGATAGTAATAGTAATGAGAAAAAATACAATATTTTTAGATTTATCCTGGTAGCCAACTTGATAACTTTCAGGCTTCATGAAAACCTGGAGTCCTACAGCTAGTCACTTACCTGACTGGGCTGGCTCCCCATTAATATACTAAAAGGCGGAAGATTGGGCTGATATCGGACTGTCCTGTTAAAGAGTTCTTTGCACCAGGTGGACTCTCCAAATCCGAAGTGATAGGATCCCTCTACTCCCGATGACGAACAAAAAAATTCCAAAAGGTTTCCGATCGTTGGAATTTGAACAATTTTCATTTGGACTCCGTCCGCGATGAAGTAGGAAAAATTCCATTAGGATTCCATTAGGCTTCCATTTGATGAAGTATGTAAATTTTCCATGAAGTTTCTCTTCCTGGTAATGCTAATTATCGCTCCCGAATACGTTTAGATCTCATTTTTTTCGTTGCCTTTGGCACCCATTGGTCTAATTGCTTTCACTTGGAATCATCAAAATAATGTTGACTTCTCTATGGTCTACAGCAATTTCTTTCTTGAAATTTACGATTTGGCCTATGTTGATCTAATCTGGTTGAATAATTTCTTAGTTCAGTTCTTTTTTCTTTTGTTGTGTTTGCCATGTTCATCCTTATGGATTTTAAAAAGAACTCAATAGATGCTTTTTGTAGTTTCTTGAGTATTATGATATCATGACAGTGATATTTGTGGCTGGAGTTGATTTGATTTTCTGATGACTATACTATTTCATTAATTGTGATTTTTTTAAGAATTTTCATAGGCCATGTAAGTCAAAACTGATATCTTCAGTTATTTGAATAAGTTGAGGACAAATTCATTTTATTTCACATCTGGTTGTTTCCATTCACATCTGGTAGAGTAGTACATACATTTCAATGCTTTCACATATGGATTCTTTTCTTTTACATTTTGGCTCTTTTCTTCCATATAATATGGACTTATTATCGAAGCATTCTCCAAGGCAGTAAAACCATTTGTAGTTTCAATTATGGTGTGGTTATAAAGTCATTTTTGCGCACTTGATTTTAGTAAAGTTCACAAACACGATTTTTTAACACGAGATTTTTCATTGATTTAGACACTTTCAGCCCAATCTCCCAAATAGGAACTCTAATTCTGGTATGGAACCATCGATGTTATGTCACCTGGATACTAACCTTCGAAGAACTGTCGACTTTTCTTCTTTTGTTATCTGCAACAAAATCATACTTGTTGATATTGTAAGAAAGCTACTATAAATAGGTTTTTATCGTTCATTAGAGTTTCGAATCAATCCTAAGCTGGTTAAAATTAAATCGCCCAGTATATTTCACAGTTCATCGAAATCGAGAGCCGAACCGAAATAATAGTTTAGAACCCTCTTGTAACGAGTAGGTATAAAGCATAAAAGAATTTTATTAGATTTAGTTTTGATATGTTGCAACCAGAATACTTATAGATTTAAGTAACTATTGTCATATGAGTATAAGATGAATAAGGATATGGTATCGACAGATATAGTTGTTGGTTTTTTTACTATGCCTTTTTTCCAACAACCCGATATCATTCTTGGATTGTTAAACGGACAAGGCTAGCTCGGTCTATCTGAAAAGGGTCCGAATAGTTTTCTTTATTCAAACATACTGTAAAGTATATTTATTGCTTTTCACCCATGAAAAGACAACCATATAATACGTTTAGTTTCTAGAAATAATAATGAATTGTCCAGTGAATCTTGTTGGGTTTGAATCATATGTTGAATGTTATTTATGGTTCCTTTGAATTTTCATAATCTGTAGGTACCTAAGAAAGTGGGGCACAGCAAATGTCGTCACTCATTTCAACCCCGGCCACTCTGGGATCCACCCCCGTAACGAATGGTAGAACATGGAGACAATGTCACAACATATTGAAAATCATAGAGTTACGATCATTTTGAGGTTCCGATTTCTAAAAAATCGGATACCTTCATGAATAACCCACAATAGACCTTTAGTTGCCGCAGTAAAAGGCCGAATAGACCCACTCACTTTGAACCATACCCATAAATTTTATTAATTGCAAGTCCCGCCCACTTTGCTGTTCTCGCTACTATTGGATAAACGTCAAGATACATCTGTGTTAGGGAGTTACTTCAAAGATGAAAATGCTTAGTGATTCGATGAATGCATCAAGATATTGATAGTGAAAAGTTTAGTGATTGATTATAAACTGTGTTCATAATTTGGTATGAAATTCAAGTTTTTTTTTGTACGACTATTCCACTCTTATTCTCGGGAAGACGGGAACCAATCAGAATCGACCATTTTCTTCTGTATTACAGTGATATATTCTGTATACTAAATTTTATCGGACTTGCTCTACCAATTTAAAAGCCAAGTTGACCCCCACGCGACCATCTGTAGACTTTTTTCTGTAGACTTTATTCTGTGCCAATTACGGATATTCGTTGGGGTGATCAGTACCCGTTGTCCCCACGCTGTAGCGTTCCCCACCGCGATAATTATTATTATTTTCCTCCTGTCTGTAGACGCTGGTGAAGGAGAACATATTCATTGAGGTTATTCTGATACTGCTGACATTACTGGCCACAGTAAGCAATTTAGGAACACTAAACACTAGCAGTAGCTTCGAGTTTTTTATCCCATTTGGAAAAAAATTTGGCAGTAGTGATAACTGGTACACTGGCAGCAAAACACAACCCTAACCTATGATCTTTCGGTTTTTATTTTCATCATTCTTATTATTATCTTCTTTACTCATGTAGGAATTATGGATGCAGTCAAAGGAGACATATATTATCCGATAGTGATTCTGATTCATCAGAAACAGCAAGTTCTAGTAGCTCTAGTTCCAGTGATGAAGAAATGAAGCATAGCTGTGAAATATTTGATATCAAAAGTGGAAATAACAAACCATCTTGTAGATTAGTGGCAGTTTCAGCGTCTACTGCCACTGTGAGATCTTCCAGTTCGACTTCATACATTTTCTCAAAGTATTTGAAAATAATGATATATAATTTGTATCAACTCAAACTTAACCATTCAAACGCTCAACCTAACATTTCAAGAACACTGGCACTACATCACCATTTATGCACCAGTGGACAAGAGTAAACTTTTAACATCTAACAGAGTTCCTTCAGAAGGAACGATAAAATAAGATGTACTATAAATGGGATTTCAAATAAAAAAAATATTGAAATTGTGTAATCGGGGCAAATGAATAACATAATCTAAAAATCCTACCTCTTTCTGGCTCAGGTTCCTGACTGAGTCTTGCCGTGTTGCCGTTGTTGCTCACACCCACTTCTCTATCTTCCCTCGCTTCGCGATAGTGGTGGGTACTTCTTTCCTCGTAATATCTTTCAGTTTGTTTCTCGCCCGAATGCCGATCTTCTTTCGGACTCACCATTTCGATAAATCTTTCGTCCTGTGTCTGAAATTCAAATACAAAACGTGAATTTATTCATTCTATTTATTTCTTGAAACTTCAAGTCTAGATCAAGTTATTGTAAAAGAAACTAATGAAGACACAAAAATGAAAATGACATCGAAGAATAATTCAATATCAAGATGGTTAATGCGATAACTAAACATTCAGTGTGTTCACCTCTGTAAAACCTAATGTTTTTAACGATTTTGATGACGTTTTTATTGTTGTCAGTATTTCAAATACACATTCAACAAGTGGATGGCTTCTTTTTTTTGTTTAGTTCACATAGTACCCCTATTCAGAAAAATAAAAAACTGAATAGTATCGAAAACTTTAGACCTGTCACTGTACCGCAAACTTTGTCAAAGATTTTTGAATATTCTTTTTTGGACCGAATGTTACATTTCATAAATAAACATAATATTATAAAGTCCACACAATATGGTTTTCGCAGTGGTAAGTCCACTCAATCAGCTTTATTGCAATTTTACAATACACTTGTCAATTTTCTTAATGATGGCGAATGCCCTGCTGCAGTTTTATGTGACTTAAGCAAGGCTTTCGACTGCGTTAATCATCTAAAACTACTAGATATTATAGAATCTTACGGTTTTAGAGGAAAGCCTCATAGTTGGTTGAGAACTTTTCTTGAGAATCGAAGCCAATGTGTTGCTTTAAGATTTGAACATAATGATTCGATATCAATAGTGACATCAGAAATAGGATCGGTATGTATGGGTGTTCCTCAGGGATCCATATTGGGACCGATTCTGTTCTTGTTGTACATCAATAGATTTGAAGCTAATATACTCCACTCAGATTTCGTTGCGTACGCGGACGATATATCCATCTTGAAGTCATCAACTGATACATTTTTATTGAAACAAGAAACCGAGAAATTACTAGCCGCCGCTTGTAAGTTTTTCAATAACCACGATCTATATTTCAACGGTAAGAAAACCCAAGTAATTCGTTTTCATAACTATAAACAGCCATCAGTTGAATTTCAACTGGATTTCAATAAAACAGTCTTGTCCGATAAAGATACAGTTAAATTTCTTGGAATTTACTTCGATAACACGTCAACTGGGTGTCACACTGTGAGGAGCTAATCTCAAAATTACACTCATCCTATTACATGTTCAAGAACTTAAAAACAGTACTAGATGTCGGCCAGCTCGTAAATATCTATTATACACAAATTGAATCGCGCCTTCGTTATGGCATCTGCTTGTGGGGCATCTCTACCAAGTCAAAAGATGTTTTCATTGCTCAAAAGGCAATTATGAGGTGCATTTTTAACATTCCTCGTAGAGAAACTTGCAAACAAATTTTTCAATCCAGTAATATTTTGACTCTCGCTAGTTTATACATATTTGAGATTGCATGTTATATTTATTGCAACATAACCTATTTCAAACTTAATAAAGACATTCATAACATGAATAGTTGAATACTCGCCAGAAAGGCCTAATTCATACACAAATTGGAAAATACAAAGTAGCCCAAAATGCACCTAATTTCATAGGACCATGTATTTTCAATCATTTATCTGAGAATATTAAATCAAGCTTAACACTTAAAGTTTTCAAAACGCGCCTCAAAACATTTTTGGTGCAACATTCTTTTTATACTGTGCAAGATTTCTTGGATTGTCCGGTACAGTGATATTTTATTTTATTTTGTACTGTATTTCGTTTCTGTATACCTATGTATTGTGTGTTTTATGTATTTTTCAAAAATTTTGACGTTTCCGACACAATGTATTATTGTCTAAAGGAATAAAGATTTGATTGATTGATTGATTGATAGTACTCACCCGATTGTATCTTTCTTCTTTGTTATTGCTAGTCTTTTCATCTCTTCTATCTCGTCTTTTTTCCCTGTCTCTTTCCTTTTCTGATTCTTCCTTCTTTTCCGATTTATATTTCTCTTTCTGTTGTTCTTCTTTGTGTATCTTTTCAGTCTTATCTTTACTGTTTGAGCTGGAAACAACATTCAAATAAGTAATTTGATAACTAGAAAAAATCTCGGAATTACCTAGTTGCCTCCATGGACACTGCTTGTGTTTTTGATGCAGTTTTAACTTCTTCGGTGGTTTGTTTCGATGCCTTTTTATCGGGTTTCTCCTTTGATGCATCTTCTGAAACCCATCCAAAATTAAAGAAAAAGTCGATTGAGAACTTTATTTATACAATACCTTTAGCATTACCATTGGCTTTGTTGTTTGCTTCAGCTTTTGCCTCAGTGTTTTTTGCCTAACAAGAAAAAATCTCATATGTATAATTACAACAATCATGGATGGCATAATTATTTTTGTCTTCAAACGTCTGCCACTCTTCTGCAATGTTATCAATCTTTGGGTGTTGTGTAATGAGATCTATGGTTGTTGCTAATTGTGAAGAATAACTTCCCGAAGGTCATTTATAAACGAACATTGGTGCAACATTTGTTAATATACACTGTTGAAAGTTTTGATCTTCAGCGATGATCGGTTGGAGGTGGATTATTTCCATATTGTTTATTCATATCACCTCTCTTAGAGTTCAAATTTTGGAAACAAAATGTTAGGTTTTAAAATTGGATGCTTTATCCATTGACATAACCTACTACCTAGACCGATAAATGTCATATCGTTAACGCCCGAATATCTCTTGGTGTTCATAAACATGAGTGAGAGTGAGTTAGATATGTGACAGGTCCTGCCTCATTAGATCCAGCTCGATCTTGAAAATGGATGAGTTCTGTTTCATGGTATTAGCATTCTAGAGAGTAGGTTATGTCGGTAGCTTTCTCGAAATCGACGTCATATTTGAATGCGGTTCAATGTTAACTCAGAAAAAAATTCATCAAGAGAAAACACCTCGTTTTGTTCAAATTATGGACGTTTGAAAAAAAAAATAGCATAGTCAATTTGAAGGATAAGTACTTTCCATGGCTCCTATGTAATGGCAGAGATATTGGTCCCACATGAAGCTGAGTCATTTTTGTCATCTAGAGTCCCTGTATATACCTTAGACAAGAGTCCGGACACAGCTATATTTCTGTCCTTTTCTGTTTTCAAAAAATGCATTGATGATTGAATAAAGGAATAAGACATATATATCGAGCTCTGTCTTTTCAATTCCCCTAGTATCAATGATTGTCAGAAACAATTTTGAGGGTTAGATTATTTGTCAAACCGTTCATAGCCGTAGGTAGAAGTGAGAAATAGGGCTATTTTAACTAGAAATTGACGGCACAGCACTTTCAATTTGAAATCCATCAGCTTGAAAGAATCTCTATCAAAATGGGCCTAAAATTCATCTTTTTTGTACTGTTTTTACAAGTGAATTTGAATATTTACCTCACATATTGCGGATTTCTTGAAATTAATTTTCCATTTTTGACGTTTCATTGCATTCTTCCATGACATTACCTTTGAAGGATCATTCGGAAAATTGAATAACTTGAATTCCTTTCCTAATGAATTATCGCAATAATGTACGCAGGACATTGAAATAATTTGAAATGCTAAATTTTGGCGGTCGTGAAATTTCAAAGTGACAGTGACAGAAATTCGAAATAAATAAAGAAAGCGGGCGGGACGACAATGGTGTTTAGTCACATTGTCAGGTGGGCAAACCAAATGAAACAAAATATTAAAAGCCCCAACGGCTCTCAGTTTTGTGTCCGGACTCTTGTCTAGGCAATTCAAATAAGACTTGAGGTTTCCATGTACCTGTATCCTATGTCAATTCCAAACGTTCTCAAGTAACAAAAACGCAAAATACAACGTTAAGGCATTTTATAACGAGACTATTGATTCAGAGATAGATTTCACTTTCGGGAAAAATAAAGACTGGCAGTTGACCTCACCAGTGCCTTCCAGATAACTAGTCACTGGATGGTATTAGTTAGATTTGAGTTTGGACACAGCTGAACTTCTGTCCTTTTCTATCATCTATATCACAATGGTTAGAGTCCCTGGATGCTTTTGAATGTTTAGATTGATTAAGTTATACATCTTGCATGAAGGCTCAGTGCTATTCAAAGGCAAGCATGCCTGAGTGCCACTGGTACAATGAAAACCACTACAACAGCCGCTTTAGAGGTCCTCTTGAACCTACCACCACTATAAATATATATTCAAGGCGAAGCCAGAGCAGCCGTGAGTTGATTGTCAAGGGGTCAAGCACCCATAAGCAACGCGCACGGTAAAGACTATAGAAATCTATATGAAGAGTTGGAAAGCGACCCCATATGGGAATGCCAACGGATGGCATAATTCCGAAATATAGCTTTGAAAAAACTTTTAAAATAAGTATAATGGACAGAGAGGCATGGAAGGAAGGACCTCCTATCAATGCAGACATTGCTGTCTATACGGACGGCTCCAAAACTGATGAAGGATCAGGAGCTGGTATTTATGGGGCCAAGCCAAAGACAAGAATCTCACTGAGCTTAGGCAAATACGCGACGGTGTTTCAGGCAGAAATTATTGCAATACATCATTGCGTGAAAGAATCGATAAGGCAAGAGTTTAAAGGCAAAACCATTGCAATCTATTCAGATAGTCAGGCGGCAATCAAAGCAGTCAACTCTATGCAAGTTAACTCAAAACTAGTATGGGACTGCTTAGAAACCCTAAATGCACTGGGCAGTCAGAACAGATTGACTCTAGCATGGGTACCAGCACATACAGGGTACGAGGGCAATGAAGAGGCAGACTCACTTGCCCGAGCAGGAGCAAACAAAGCTCTTAATGGCCCAGAACTCTTCTGTGCGAAAGCTATACAAAAGACTAGTATCAAATCATGGATGCAAACCAAATCTCAAGAATGGTGGAACAACTCGCCAGGAATGAGACAGGCTAAAGAGTTTATTAAAAAACCATTGCCAACATTCACAGGCTATCTACTAAGCCAGAAACGAAGTTCAACTAGAATACTAGTGGGACTTCTCACAGGGCATAGTAGGCTCAACAAACACATGAGTACGATAGGTCTGACTGAAGAACTGCTGTGCAGGTTCTGTCAAGAAGAGGAAGAAACAGCAGTACACATGCTTTGCCACTGTGAGGGCTTGTCAAGACTAAGGATCCTTACGCTGGGTGAGGAAAAACCAGGAGCCCAGAGATACACAGGAGGCACAGATTAACAAACCTTACAGATGTGCAACTCCGCCCCTTTTGTTTGATGTTTGGACACGCCGCTTTGGTGACCTCGGACCTTTAAATTGGTACAAGCAGTTGCCAGTTTGTTGAATAATTCCGTGGATACAATGTTGCCTTTTCTTGAGAAACTAAATTATGACGGTTCACAATGTTGCCAGATTATGAAAAACATTTGTAAATTCGATGTTGCATTTTCTTTAGATGAACACAATTGTTTTCAATTATCGATATGAGAAACCTGTGGAGTGTTGGGAAGCAACATAGACGATTCCTCGCATCGATGTAGAATACTCAAATAGCTGGCTTTCACCTCAAAATACGAATATAAAAGCTCTAAAGCACTTTTTTCAAGTAAATTCTGGACTATGAGATCTGGAAATTTGTATCGGGACCACATTTAAATGATTTTGAACCTTTATTTCTAGATAATTCTATATTTGATAAAAAACTGGCATATTATTGGGTAATAAAACAATAAATAATTTCAACAAATTTTAATATTCCAAAATGAAACAGATATTTTTCATTTTTATCATTATTCTTTTTTATACAGGGTGATTCATGAAGAATGGGAAATCTCTGAACTACAGATAGTAAACACTGATTAAGATCAAGCATAACATACCTGATAAGAATGTTGTTGTTTCAGGAGATACAGGAGATTTTTTTTTCGAAATTTTTCAATATCTTTGTAAGTTTCAACTGCATGAACATTAAATCTTGTAGTTTCAGGTTTTCTGACATGGGGAATATGAATTTAATGGTTATCAAAATAAGTGATAATCTGAAAGCCCGTTCAATTTTACATAAAAAATATACTATTTTTCAAATTGTATACTAGCTGGAACGGTTTTTCAGTTATTCGCTCTTGAAGAGATTTACGTTCCACCTACACATTTTAATAATTTTAAATTATAAAGTTAGCCAAGTGACAGTGGAAAAAATACAGTAATCAATGATGACAATCACTAAAAACGCCAACAAGTAACAAAATTTTGAAGTCAATGTTCAACAAGATAGGTGTTTACTATCTATATTTCAGAAATTTCCCATTCCTAATGAATCACTCTGTATAATTAACAAATAATAATTTGCATTGAATGTCTTCATATACCTAATGGAATAACCTATGTAACTTAATAGGTTCCAATCCACTAGAAGGTGTACTGGCACAGTCTTTATAAACACAACGATTTCCAACACTCTTTGGAGCACTCATTGTTATTAGATTCAACTCCAAGAGGCACAAAACAAACTTAGATGAATCGATATTTCAATTCATATAATAATAAACGCTCTGCTGATCGAACTATAATAACACCAATAAACACAGGTAACTAATTATCATTAATAACACCAACGTACAACAAACGAATAATCATCAAAATATAAAATGGCGAATTTAGCGAACAACACAACAACAGCTAAGCTAATGCTTATAACTTAAGGCGACACCGCGGCGATAAAGGAAATTCTTTTCACGTGCAGTGCTTTTTGTCTGCGGCCATATCGCACTGTGAATGGCTGTTAATAGTGTTGACAAGTCAGTAACCAATTAGAATGGGGTGACCGTGATACGCGAAAGTCCAGTTGAGGACTTGTGAACCGAGCTTAATAAGTAGAATACCGTAAGTTGGTAGCTCTGCTACAGGGCGCCAACATAGCGCCACAGACGTAAACAAATATCAGCTGACTGGACCTTTAAATTGGTACGATTCTCTATCTTTCTCTAATTCTCGTGGCCTTTTCTATCCTGCACATCTGTAAGGTTTGTTAATCTGTGCAGGAGGTCTGAAAGCTAGCCTATGGAGTCTCATAGAGAAGACAGGGCTAGCCGAAGAACTCTAATCGATTTTGAGATAGACCTGAAAAGGTCGCAGTGTGGAGGCAGATAGCCCGAAGGCCCCATTCCAAATCTAATCTAATCTACACATCTTGCATTGTGACAAGAGTACAATATTCGTCCCGCGGTTTTTCATTCAAAATTGTTTCAATTTGACAATTAATTTTATGAACAACACTAACAGTTGTCATTTTTGTGTCCGAACTCTTACCTGATACCATCCAGTGACTCTACAGATAACCAGCCATTGACAGACTCGCTACAAACACGCCAGGAAAAGTAATAAATCCCCTAGACACGAAAGAATCCACAATTACCTTTTCCTTTTCCAACGGGATATGGAAGTCGCTCTCCTTCATCATCTGTCCGCTAGCGTTCTTCTGCTTGAGCAGCCCCAAATAGCTGCTCGAAAGCGTAAACAAGTCCTGTCGGTTGTTCTTCTCTTCGTCCCTCACTTTCTCGATCCTCTTCTCGATGAACTGGCTCAACTTGATCAGCACCGGATAATGCGGGATGATTTTGATCAGGATGATCAGAGCGTTCCTTATCTGGACGTAGAGTTTGGACTCCAAGCAAGTGACCATGGCCTTGGCTAATTTGAAGTGCCATTTGTGGCACACGTGCCGGTAGTTCTCGTAGTCGACGTTGTCCAGATTGTCGGCTTGTTGGTTGTTCTTCCGGTATTTCGTGACGAAGCCCGGGTAGTTTGTGCACTCTTTGTTGAAGGTTTCTTTTGTTTTGTGCCATCTGGAGACCGTTTCCAGCAGGGAGAAGAGGAACCTGCCGTAACGCATGGCCTCGTTTTCCGTACAGGAGGTTATGGAATAAGTGACGTCGCAAAATAGCTGGAAGAAAGCGACCGGACAATGATGTTCTGTTACGAGAGTTCGGTATATTTTCTCTATCAATTTCTCGAAAATACATAGTTGTTTTCACTACAAAAGTCCAGCCTCTACTTAGATCGTGAAACATAACCTCTATCTGTGATATTTATGAATCTTCGATTGTTCATGGATATATTATTCTCCAGTATAGGTCGCGTGCACGAAGACCGACCCTGGAGGCAAAATATTGAAACACAACCTCATTCTTCTGTGAATTATTGAAACACAACCTCACTTTATTACTTGGTTACAGAGGAATCAAAGGATTGAAATAATTTTTCACAATATTTTGGCATACGAATCGTGTTTTTTGCGCTAGCCATTAATAGCATGCCATCGCATTGTGCTGTTGTACAATGCACAAAAAATGCAGCAAGAGACTAAAGAATATGATTTTTCTGGTAAATAGTAATCTCACATAGTTATCATTATGAAATGTTGTCATTCCTTATTAAAATTCCTTCTGCCTTCTGTCACTTCTGCAATACAAGCTAATACTGCTAATAGATTGAAAATGTCTACAACACACACGATCGTCAGCATGTCAGACCAGTCCTCCCGATTGATTGCATGAATCCAATTTTCTGGCATTATTTTAGAAATTTCAGATGTATTTCTATTAGCTTCTATCGCAGAAAGAATTCCGATGAGAAATCAGAGAAATTACCAAATTTCAAAAATGTAAACTATATGTGAGTGACTATAGTAGGTACTTACTTTCAAATCATATTGTACCAACCGGATTGCTTCGTCTTCCGCTGCAGTTTTTGTGCATTTCACAACAGCATAATGTGGTGGCACGAGCGAATGGGCTCGTATCACAAAAATTTTTTATTTCATAATTCGATAGAACTCACCCAAACTAGCTCACCACCGCAAACCGTTTCTTGCTGTGAGCTCCCTACGTTTTATAAAAAAATATTGAAATCACCGATTTTTCGGACCTCTGAAAACGAGGCGATGATGTGACGTCAAAACCCTAATACTGAAACAAGACTATTCCAGACAGAGATGAATGATACATGATTTCTGACAGAGTGAATTAGCGCGAGATCACAGTTGAAAGAATTAATATATCAATTGCCTCAGTCTCCGTCGGGCTTTTGGTATTTTCTTTTAACTATGGCGAGATGAGGTTTCTACGTCATAAGAGGGTCCGTTTTCAGAAGGTACTATTATTTATGTCCAAAAATAAAACATTCCAGTTAATTTTTCGATCGAATTATGCCGCCAATCAATATTTATGTATAAAAGGATTATTATAAACATGATTTGAGTTAAAAGTTCTACTAAGGTGTACACGCCCATTGATGGATAGCGGAAAAATACGATTCGTATGCCAAAATAATTGTGAAAAACTATTTCAATCACTTGTAAACAAATAAGTAAAGTGACGTTGTGTTTCAATATTTTGCCTCCAGTGTCGGTCATCTGACAGTTCTTGCACGCAACCCATTAACAAACCCATAACCTCTTCCTCCTGGCAAAGAATGCTCGTACCTCCCCGTGGTCTTTGCTAAGAAGTTACAATTTGAAGTGATAGTATAAACTTTAGGGAATAAAAGTAAATACTGGAATTTTTTCTCTGACGCCATAGCAACTACGCTTTCAAGACACATCACTTTTAGATGTCAACAACAATATGATAATCACTCATCAGTCAGCAAAGTTTACATTTTGAGGTGCATAAAATAGTGCACAAACCACGGTTATTTTCAACCCTCCTTTCCTCTGGTCGGGTTGCAAACTTTTCGCATCGGGATTAAAAGTAGGTACCACTTTAGTCCCTTCCCTGGGTTTCTCATCTATTATTATCAGCTCTATATTTGTTCCCATCAACTTTTTCAATATTCATACAGGGTGATCCAACGAAAACTTTACACCCTGACTTTGGGGCTTTAACCCATTTGACCCCGAAGCCATTTTTTTCCGATTTTGTATATTATTTTCTTGAAATCGATCAATAAAAGGTCCAATAAGTCGAGAGAAAATCATAAAAAAAATTTCGATCTCCAGTTTTGGAAAAAAACAGCAGTCCTTTTAAAAGGACGGTAGGATAAAGGGCTACTATTAGAGAAATAAATGAAGATTTGATTGATGTGAGAAAATTGTCAAGAAAGCGGTGAACGGGCTGGTAAGGCATATTTTGTAAAACATCAGCATATTGGAGAACAACTAACGCTCCCAAACCAGTGTACCCTCAGAACTTTTTGATATATGACACCGCAAATCAATCATACAGTGAGGACGTGAAAAGTCCTTCCCCCAACAAAGCAGAGTTGGATAGAGATTCGAAATGCCTTCAAAACAAGGTACCACGTGACCCCTCTTTATATTTAAAAAAAAAAAGTTGATGTGCCCACTTGACACTAGGTCACGTGACCACAACCATTTTCATGCCAAATAGTAGTAAAAGAGGTACCTTTTTGCCTGAATTTTACTCGACCTCGCTAGCTTGTTCCGTTCAAAGGTTAAAGGGGGGGGGGGGGGTAGGACTTTTTACGTCCTCACTGTATGATTGAATTGCGGTGTCATATATTAAATAGTTCTGAGGGTAATAAGAATGCCAAAACAGAGAAAAAGTTGGCGTTCAATGAGTAATGGACGGTTCTTACCCTATCGTAAAACAGCAGAGTGGAAAAATTCGGAGTCTTGAGAAGATGAATCGTGTAGACAAACTTTGCACAATAAACTGCATCCACCTGAGTGAAAGTGCACCTGGGAAAAACGCAAAGCTGAAGAAATCTAGTGATAGCTTCGTTCTTGACAGCTTTCGGCGTCCTGGACAAAAACCAGCTGTCCTTCTCCTGCTTCAACCTGTTCATTATCTTATCTACGTGTTCGCTGTGTTTCTTTTTCTCGTCTTGCAGCTTCTCAAACAACGTCTGGTACCGTTCTTGTTCCTTTTTGCCCTTGGTTCCCGAGTCCATGTTGGCCAAGGATTGCTGTTTCGCTTTGTTTATCACTTGCTGGTATGTATCTTCAGGTACGTGTAGGTCGTACATGGTCAATGACCAGAAGGTCGACAGGAATTGGGGGGAGATGTCTTCCCACACTCTGGGAGTATGCAGGGGGATCAAAGAGGTGTGAACGGGTTGCATTATTTCGGTTACTGCCTCGAAGTATTTTTGATTCTTCAATGATGACGACATCTTCTTGTAGTTTGGATCTGCTTTACGTAACTGGTCGTATTTTTGCTGGAAAAGGTAATTAATTGATTGGTTGATTAGGGTTGTCCACGAATGGGGAAATTTCCTATTTATATGTATATGTATTTTTCATTTTCTCAATAGGCCGAGATTCACTTCAGAAAAAAAATCAAAGAAATAGTGTCGGCTCCTTCACCATTCATCTGACGTCATTGGTGAACTGCCATGTTCACACAGAACTAATACGCGATTTTGCTAGGTCGACTGCGACGTTGCCATGTCCATTTATACAGAATGGAGCAATGGTATGGCAATGCGAGATAACGGTTTCACTGTTTGAGATAGATGAACACAAATTTTTGGGATGGTCTAGGCTCATAAGCAGTACATTTCTAATATATTTTGTGTTATACAGGGGTACTCAAAAATGTGTGGCGTATCAAAGTTATACTGTTTCTTATGGAACACCCTGTATTTCATTGCATTATTAGATTCTCACTGAAGAACAGATTTCATCAATGCATTAGACTTGGGTTCTAGCGGAAATGATTACAGAGATATAGGGTGTACAAAATCTGGATTTCTCAACTTTAGGATTTTTTGTGTCAAATCTATACATTATTTGTCAAAACGGCTTACATGTCCCTATCTTGACTTTTGATTTACTATCTACTGACATTTATTTCGAATGAATAGGTACAGGGTTGTTAATAATTCTGAAATATGTACCACCCTGCATTCGTTCATATCAAATGTTAGTAGATAGTAAAAAACAAGATAAGATAGGGACATGAGAGCGGTTTTGACATATGTGTGTTCCAGAAGAAGAAGTTTAACCTCAAAACGCCACGCATTTTTGAATCAACCTGTATAACGCAAACTATTCGAGAACTGTGCTGTTCATAAGCCTAGAACATCTCAAAAAAATTTGTTTATCTATGTCAAACAGTAAAGCCCTCATCTCACTTTGCCACACTATTGGTCCACCCTATATGTTTGGGTATTAAGAAATTCTGTATATGTATTGACTGCACTGAGACTTCATTTTAATATTGGCTACCTTATATAAAATGATATCATTTTGAAATTTGATTTTCTGATTAAATGACTCATCAGGACAAAACATAAATATTTCAATAATATCAATACATCCATTACTCAAAGTTGAATCTTGAAATGTATGGAATCATAATATAGGTTTAGTTTTAGTTTCAATTTTGTCTGTCCATAAAACTGATGCATGCTATTAGACATAGTATGTTTGTAATCAGTATAAATAGATAAATTAAATGAAATTTCAACATCTTGAAGGGTTCCTGAGTGGATTTTCATTGTTTCCAAGAAATTAAATTATACGTGACAACCTCGCCCAAAACTAGTTTTACACCAAATCATGCTGATAGCTGCGAATTCATTGTATGTTTCCATTATTCGTCGTTCTTCACGGTTTTTTACACTCTTCCTAATTCACGGTCTAGAATTATATATGCGCTGTTTTCGTTTTATTGTTAATTGTGAACAAGTTGCTGTGATTCACGTTGAATTTCATCTCTATAGACTAATTAGTTCGTCAGAATTGTAATATTCTCGGATATCACTGATGGTCAGCAACTAGCTCTAAATTCACTCTCATTATTATTCAACTCATACGTTTTTCAGGATATACACGTAATCATTATGAGTAAGCCTTCTGAAAAAGTGAAACTTTTGTATAAATGTCAGATGTTACAATAGAATACAGAGTTACAATGTGCACATGGTCGAAGTCCAAGATTCTTGTTCTGCTTGTTGTATGCCTTATACCCGCTTCAATGTCGTCTTATATTCTTTTTTTTTCCTTCTTTTTCAGTTCGAGCGAGAATTTGGGCTTGTTCGGATATTTGAATCTCACAGCAGTTATTATACCCATGTTCACACTAGATACACCGTTTACGTCATCGTTTTCCGCTAAAATACCGGGTGGCTACGGAAGTATTGCCTACGGAATATCTCAGTTATTGTATGAAGTAGGTTTGTGGAATTTGGAGCGTCGATATAATGACATAAGAGCTAGAATTTGAGCATATTGACATGTCGAAGTTAACTTCCGGTCTGACCGGAAGTAACATCAACTTTCTTATTTTAAATGGAAACCCTATTTTTTTTTTCTTTTCGCTTTATTCAGCATTCAATTCCCTTTCTTATGACATATCACAGGTTGGTATCTAACCAGAAACTAGATCAGAAAAAAATTATTATTGAAATTCACCGAGTAGGCCGTGAAAGCAAAATGAAAGCCAAAAATTGAAAAGTTGGCTATGGAAACCATACGTCACTTGATAACAGTTGCTACTACTGTGATATTTCATTTTCATTCGTCGGCGTTATAAAAAGCCGCCAAGAAAAATATTGGAAAAATTGGGAAAAAAACAATACTCTGTAGGTCCATAACTTAAATAGGAACATACAACTTTTTCTTGCCTGTACTATTCAGCATAACCATTCCTTTCTAATTATATAATAGAAAGTCATTTTTTGGCTTTCATTTTGCTTCCACGGCCTACTTGGTGAATTTCAATAATAATTTTTTTCTGATCTAGTTTCTGGTTAGATACCAACTTGTGATATGTCATTAGAAAGGGAATTGAATGCTGAATAAAGCAAAAAGAAAAAAAAATAGGGTTTCTATTTAAAATAAGAAAGTTGATGTTACTTCCGGTCAGACCGGAAGTTAACTTCGACATGTCAATATGCTCAAATTCTAGCTCTTATGTCATTATATCGACGCTCCAAATTTCACAAACCTACTTCATACAATAACTGAGATATTCCGTAGGCAATACTTCCGTAGCCACCCGGTATTTCTCAATTGCTCTATTTCGAAAATAGAAATGATTTAAATAATTTCAATTGTGATTATAGATTGCAGTAGCGTAATCATAATCAATGTAAAACTAATTTGATGAACATTCATTCAAAGGAAACTCCTCCATTGCAAATTGAATTTGTACAAATGCTCTTTTTAAAAATAATAAGCACTTACATTGGTAGCATGGTTGAACATGGGCCTGGCAAGGAAGAAAGCCACTTCCAAAGGAATGTGATAATCCATCAGCATGCTCTGTATCGACGGCAACTTATTGACGTACTCGTCGACGGAAAGAGTCGATCCCAAAAACGTCCCGAATTGCACGAGCGTGTCCTGACACTGATCCGACAGCTTGCCCACCAGCTTCATGTGACTCTTTTGGGTCTCCTTGTATACAACGCAATAGTTTTGCTGGGCCATCAGCAGGCAGAGGGCCACTGCCAGATCGTTTTCCGCCATCGATTCTTTGAGCCTCAAGGAGGACTTTTTGGTGTTGCGCACTTGGCTGAAGTAGCCGGCCTTGAAAAAAGAAATCGGGGGCTGTCACAGTGATTCCAACTTACTATTTTATTAAGTACTAAGAACTAGGAACATATTCACTTGATAACATTGGATATAAATCAGCTTCATATTTATTATTTATTAACTTACGTGTTCAAAATCGGAAATAATATAGGAAACAAAAACAAAACATTGACATATCTCTATCTAATGAAACTAATGGACAAAGCAATTATAAATATTTGATACCTTATTTGTATAATAAAATTCCGCCTGATATTGAGAAAGTCAAATCATTATATTGTTACAAAACTAAAATCGAACACTAAATATTAATCTCCTCAAGGGTTTATTTGCATCTCAGTTTAATATTTAATATCTATATCTACGAAATTTGAAACACTACTGAATCTTCTATTCAATTATGGAATGAAAAACAAGAAATACATTTTTATTTATCAATAACTTCTGTCTCAAATTGGTGATATAACATATCAATTATTTCAATCATTCATTCACTCAAACAAGAATTAGCTCAAACTCTAGGAATTACTAGAATAATTACTATACTACTAAATTTTAAATATAATGTAATTCATCATGTTTTTCTTAATGTTCCCTGTTATAAACATATTGTTTCTTGGAAATAATAAAGATGATGTTTTTGGATGTATGATGAATTTATATTCATCATACAGGACGTGGAAAGAGATTCTGAATCGAGAAAACCTAATCAAGAATCAATCCTACTAGGAGCAACAAGAAGAACTTAATTAAATCAACCTGAAATGTCAAATATTGCCCTATCATGATTGACAGCGTTGTTTTTCTGTTTTGGGTATTCACGACTTTATTTTCATTGGATAACATTTGTTTTTTTGTTTGTACTTATTGGTGACATCCATCAAAACAAAAGGTTCAGTAATGTTCAAATGTTGCCGTCATGTGGGGCGACGTGATATTTTCTATTGCGAATATAACTTTTCACTTTATTGATTGATTGATTGTCTTTATTACCCCAAGAAACATTTCTGTTTATGATAGGGATACATAAATACATATAAAAAAATGATAATAAAGGGTTGACTAGTTAATTTCATTAGGTATTTGATGTATTTCACGTAGGGATCGAAATGTTGAATGTCAAAATGGGTTATGATTAGATTCTTGTTAAGTAAATGAGATTCAAAAATAGACAGTGAAATGGTGAACAATTGTTTTGCAACTCAACTTTGTGAGTGCTAAAATAAAAAAATTAGAACACATCGAACTGATATTTACATCATCTTCACCTAGAAAATAAATCGTATAACCTCTGAATTTTCATATTCAATTTCAATGGGCACAGAAGTAAAATTCAACACTGTTGAAAATATCATCATTGAGGAATTTGATGTTGGTTTATGAGCTGTAAAAGTGAATTTCACAAAAATAATTACCTCTGATTTAAGAAGTTCTCCACCAGATAGAGCATTCAACTGATCTATAGTGAGATCTTCAGCAGCATCGACTCCAGCCATTTTCTGCACAATTTCTTTGAGAATAAGCAAATCCAAGCTGAAACATTTTTATAGAACATGGACAATTAAAATCCATCCAAACACGAAATTCACCAAACAAAAATTTCCACTAAGGTCCAAAACTGACGTCACAATAGATCACTGTCAGTAACGCCATGTGACGTAATATTGTCATCCATTGAACAGCCGATGGGAGAACAAGCATAAACATTTTCCACAAGGCTACATGTAACTTCCTTGCAAATTTCCCGCTACAATACAATACCTGGAGCATTTATTTACTAACATGTTTTTTAATTCATTCATCGTGAATACTGTGAGAAAAGTTAATGAGTCCAATGAAGAGATCAAATTGGTCAATTTGAAATTACTGGATTCACTTGAAGTTCAGCTCTAAAATACCTAATATACTTCGTATTATACCTCAATAGACACTCAGTTTGCAACAACGTTTACACATTTTGCTCGTATAATATTTACAAGTTCAACAAAATTACCAATGGGCGGGCCAGAAAAAATAAAATGAAAATTCACACACAGCTTTGTTTGTTCCCCGATCGGCTAATTCTGAGAGGCTGTCTAATCCAACTTTTATCAGGAGAAATAAAGGGTTTTTCAGTTTTTTTTAACTACCCAATTTTGACGGAAGAATCATAAACTCTGACCCCAAACGCCCCCAGATACTAATTTTTAATAGAATCGGATCATGATTACAGAACCCGTCCACCATATTGAATTTTTCAATTTTGACAAAGGCATCATACTCTCCTACCCCCAACACCCCCAGATGACAATTTTGAATAGAATGGGATCATTGAATAACAAAATCCCTTCACCATGTTGGATCCGCCATCTCGAATTTTACAATTTCGACACAGAACTCGAGCACAGAGTGGTTGAGTGATCTGTGACTTGATAGAAAAATTGCTACAAAACAAACTATAGAAGAAAAAGATTAACCTCGAAATCTAGTTCATAGTTCATTATTTCATTTCATTTTTAGTGATCTATCAGTGTCATATTATAGTTTTTATTGAGTGACAAATGCAATGACGAATGGTGACAAGACCAAGTCACAAGACGAATTACCCAATGAGAATGTCTGTCCGAAGTGTATGACGCGGTGTGATGCACCTTGTCATGGTGGAAGGAGAAGATGGTGTGCTCAACAGAAAGCTCAAACTCGTCTTGTTCTGCGCATGACGTCAGCTGGGATATAACTGTCATTGTTATTATTTGTTTTTCGTGATTGATACTAAAATTGAATGAAATAATTTCGAAATGCCTACTTTGTTCGTTTCTGGTTATGGAAATTCCAACTAACATACAAAAGGCACTGATATTGAATTTTTCTGCTTTTCCAAGAATGGAGACCTAATGAAACGATAGGAGCTTGCTGCCGACAGAATATAAACTCAAATTATGGTACCTACCTTTTATTCCTTATATCCTCATTCCAAAGTATTCACCTATCATCATTATCATCACATTCATATTACAGTCCGTATTTCTTCAAAACATTTCCATGTAAAATGTTCCCAAACAAGTGCGAAAGTACGGTTCTTGAATTACACACTTCTAAAAAATCACAAATATTTGAAACAAGATGCCATTCCTACAGAACATCTTCCGAATATCAAGTCAGAGATAATTGAAAATGAATTCAAAAATCTCAATTTCCCACAAAATATAAATTGCAGCAAAGATTTGAATAACAAAACGGCAAAAATTGATACTCCTGTTGTCGATGTCGGAGCAGAATCAACGTCAACGTTGTTAACTGCTGAATTTTAATCTGTCAGAATCGACACAGTAGTGGATCATTCAGATGGGATTGGCAATGCATGATAATTCGTATGTATTTGCTATTTGCGATTGCGAATTACCTCAAGATCACAATTTACAGAATCAATGAAATAGTAAAATCGAAGGAATCGGTACCTGTTTATATAAATTGAATTATTTCCAAACAGATCGAGAAACTTATAGAAATTTCAATGAACATGATTGAATTCATTGCGCACGCCCATAGCAACGGTATCTGGCTGTGACAAGCAGCTGATATTGGTATCCCAGATGACGTCACATAATATGTGCGTAGGCACACCATCTTCTCCTTCCACTATGCACCTTGTATTCGCCCAATGAAATGCCATCAATAATTCGCGCGCATTCGAGCTATCGTTTGAATTTAGGTTCAATTTAATATTTTTTTCTGGGTTAACCGCGATCGTGAGAAAATTGAAAAAATGCTGATTCACCCAGTATGTGTTCTAAATCGTGAAAAAAATTCAAAAAATCATGGTGAAATTCCCTATTCTTTTTGGGACTTTTTTTGTGGAGATAGGGTAAATTCCAAATGCTTGAGGCCAAACTGTTTTATAGTTCTCCTGCACATTTTACAAAGATGGAGTTACGCCTTCTAAGGCGACGATTCCCATTACCCACCTCTTCTGCGCCTTCAGCTGATTGGCAACAAACTGCAACAAGCCAGTCAACTCAATCGTATACTTCTTGTAAACGGCTCCGCAGAAGCTCGCCAAACTCTGCAACCAGGTAGAGATGGACGTGCTGTCATGCTTCACGCGCTTCTTCTCAGCATTAGCCAACGACTCGATCAGACAATAACCCAACACGTCATAGGACAAGTTCGTCAAATACTTGAGCGAATCCACCACAGGATTGATCAGGTTGTTGTACACCTGGATCTGCAAGAGGACGTAGTCGAAGAGGAAACCAGGGGAGCAGTGAGTCAGCTTCCCGATCAGTCTCCCTACTGGCTTGACGTTCTCTTTGCTCACTCGCTTCATTATGTTTTTTATTTGTTTCTCGGAGTCGGCCCTTTTTCTCAGCAGCTCTGGGTACACCGAGTAAGTTTCGTTCTTCCATCTCGAGTATAGCGCGTACCTTAGATAGACAAATTTATTGAAGCTTTAAATATGAAATAGTTGAAAAATTCATGTCATCACATGATTATAAATGTAAATATGTATATACAGGGTGATTAAGGTTTTAAGGTACTAACTGAAATGGGCGATAGATCTCATTTTAATTAAAAAAGTTCATATATACATGAGTCCAATCTCGATCGGTAGCGGAGCTACAGAGGGTCAAGTTTTGATTAAATCACGTTGAGTGCCAGATGAGACCAACGTGGTCTCTCATCCATAACTGGGCATTAATTGCTTCGTGAGACCAATGTGGACTCATATGCATCGCCGATACATTCCGTTGTATCAAGCAGCAATGGTATCATTGTGTGCATTTGAATCGATGGGATCTTAAAAAGCATGGCCTAACGGTCCAATAGCTATATTTGGCGTGGATATGCGAGACCGATGTGGCACCCTACAGCAATCTACTTTTTTTTTTAGTTTTAAACTAGAAACATAATTTTTCAGTTTTTCTAGCACTAATTTATCGATTTCTTACAAAGAAGTACAACTACATAATAATAAAACTATTCTATACATAAAAACTTGAAGTAAAAGTAACAAAGGCTTTGTTATTTTATATTCTTTTTGCATAATTTTTCAGTTTTTCTAGCACTAATTTATCGATTTCTTACAAAGAAGTACAACTACATAATAATAAAACTATTCCATACATAAAATTTGAAGTAAAAGTAACAAAGGCTTCGTTATTTTATATTCTTTTTGCATTGTGCGCTACAAAAAAACAAGATAGGCAGTAATAATTTTCGCAATCATAGCACTTCAATGAACTTTGGGGAGTTTTTCTTGAGACTTCCTTTGATCCAGATTCAGAGATCTTCACATAAAAAATAACACAACGTCTTCTATTAGCTCGACCAACATCTTCCAGTACTTGGTGAAAATTGGTATTGCGTTTTGAGCCACTTATTCTTGTTCAAACTTTCTTCTCATTCGGATTAAAATTCATCTGACGTTCCGTAGGGTTCAAAATCGTTCATATCCTCTTCATCGGACCTTTTTTTTTGTCCACGGTGGCATCCAACGCGATATTTTTCTATTAATTGAAATATCTCGCTCACTTTTGAAGATGTCAATTTGAAATTTAGTGTAGTTAATACTTTCCAGAAAATCATCATTTTAAGCATTTTGAAGGTTTTTAAAATCTACAGGGTGATACGTTTTTGGGGGTAGAGGCTTCTTTATCCCCCCAAACTTTTTTGTAATACGCCTCTGACATCTTCCAGTTACCAAACAGGATGGATCGTTCAATTTGGAGGATTTTTTCCCTTCAATTTTTTCCGAGAAATAAACCATTCTCGAGATAAAATATCATATCATATCCGTTCTAAAACATGTTTCTATTGAATTTTATTCATCAATCAGTAGCGGAGATACAGAGGGTAGAAATGTGGCTTTATCAGTTCACAATACGAATATTTTTCAATATTCGTCTTTGTCTATATTGTTAACGAATTTTGCCCTAATAGAATAGCACGTGAACGAAGCACGTTGATCAGTTTTTGATGAAACCTGTGAATATTTTGATCATCTGCCAATCAGGATTTCAAGTATGACAATCTATCTCTTGCAGTTTCTCGAAAATTTCAAATAGAAAATGGTACTATTGAAAAGGAATATTCTCAGCTATATTATGTACATGAAAAATTAGATATACATACATTATAAATATATCAAACAGTAATGGGATATAATAGGTTACTCAAACCTACTATGAATAATTCCATAAAACTCTTATTTGCTGGATGAAGTTGATTACTAATGAAGATAAATTATGATATTTTGCAATAGTATCAATAATTTTTCACTTTCGTTATGTTACCAAATGATAATCATAACTTGCCAGCCATGTTTTTATCAATGAATTCATTCCTTCATGAAACGTTTCTATTTCCCAGGAAAATTTCAGATTATATCTTGCAACAGCGCATAATACTTTGTGCCCGTCCACACCACACAAAATACTGACAGGCACACCAAGAGCTCATGTGATTTTCTGGTTATGTATGTTTTTGTTTCCAATTTTACTTGTGGTGATTTTTTGATCTCCAGTTATTTGATAGCCTATGTCTACAGTTTATAGTTGTTTTGTTAGTTAGTTGATCATCGGTATGACTCATGATTTAATCAACGACTCTGTCTTCTTCTTCTTCTTCTTCTATTTCTATACTCCTCATCATCAGCTATATTCAGACTAGATACACAATGTACATCACAGTTTGACGCCCCGAAAACTTGAAATTGCTTCATTTTGATAATTAAAACGACTTGGACTTCATCGATCGCCATTATGTACAGCGTGAACATAAAACTGAACTTATTTTATGAAAATTCATCTGCAGAAAACTTCTCTATTATAGACTTACCTTATCTGGTAAGGGTACAGCCTCACAAGAGTCCATATCTCCTCAGCGATGCAGCAATTGCACTCCAAGTAAGACAGAGACGGCAGTATGGTCTCGTCCAATAGCGACAAAATGTCGTAGTAGAGAGAGTCCTCGGTAGGTGGCGCGCATTTGGCGCCGTCGATCCCGTACGACGCTAGCGCCGCTTTGCTCAGGCGCACGAACTTGCTGAGCAAGACCGGATCGAAGCGCAGCGAGGAGCCGAGCGCGAGCAGCATGGGAATAGCGGCGGCCTTGAGGTCGGAGAAGGTGTGCGCGGGTCTGGGCGCGGCGGGGATGTCGTCGGTGGGGACCGGCTTGCGGGGGATTTTCTCGCTGATGATGCCGTGCCTTTAGACACAGTTGAAAGAATTATTATATCAGTCATGAAAATCATCCATTTCTCAGAGTGGTCCAATGTAATTTCAAAAGAAAAATGAAAGAAAACCACACAAAGTCGGTCGACCACACTTTATACAGGGTGTTTCAAAAAAACCTAACCCCCTTGCTAGGGTAGGTAGAACATTGCAAAATAAGTTGGGTTTGCTCTGTGAGAAAATGTCGTAACGGCATCCGTTTTCATGATACAAGGTGTTGAAAAAATATTTTTCTTTCACATTTTTCACGATTACGTTGAAACTACTTTCAACATTGTAATGAAATTTTGTATGGATGTTTCTTGGAATCTGACACATCGCATGCATTTGTTTTTATATCTGGCTCTCATAGAGGGCGCTAGTTACACGGTTCGTACCGAGTAGTTTTGAACGTAACTTTTTTGAGGTTGGATTTTTGAATCCAAATTTGATGTGAACTTGAACATCATTCAATTTCACACCAAAAAGGTATTTTTGATAAAACTCGATACTGTGTTCCGTTTTCGGAATATTTCGATTTGAAAATGATGAAGTGGTAACTGTTGCTGGTATAAAGCTATGTATTAGAGTGAGTATTATGAAAAATTATCACCTATTCATTGAAAACCGAAAACAACAATACATTTCTGATGCAAAACTCATTGATTCAACAATAAATCACAAGAATAACATCGAAACAGATTTGACTAAGAACATGGAGTACACAGTTTTGTTGTATCTTGAACAGAAAGTCTATGCTACATAGGTAAATTCACGTCAACGTCAAGAGTTGTGAGACATAATTGAACATCACTTAAATGACCTAACAGCTGATCCTCAACTGTTCAGAAGAATAATACATTCTTAAAAAAAGAATATAGAATCGTGTATTCCTCGAAACGTAGGACATTTTGAACACTTACTCTAATTGATTCAATATTTCATGTTTCTAGTCAAATATCTCTTAATTTTCTACTTATGATTCTTTGTTCCAATAACTTCAGCACAAGAATGATTTTATTGTTTTTGAAGCTGAATAAATAGGTAATTGAACTCAATAAAATTCATTTTATACCAGCATCATTACTACTCCATTATTTTCAAATCGAAATATTCCGAAAACGGAACATAGTATCAAGTTTCACCAGGAGTACCTTTTTGGTGTAAAATTGAATGATGTTCAAGTTCATATCATATTTGGATTGAAAAATCTAACCTCAAAAAAGTTATGTTCAAAAATACTCGGTACGAACCGTGTAACTAGCGCCCTCTATGAGAGTCAGATATAAAAACAAATTCATGCGATGTGTGAGATTTCAAGGAACATCCATACTAAATTTCATTACAATGTTGCCAGTAGTTTCGGAATGATCGTGAAAAATGTGTAAAAAAATAATTTTTTCAACACCTTGTATCATGAAAACGGATGCCGTTACGTCATTTTTTCACAGAGCAAACCCAACTAATTTTGCAATGTTCTACCTACCCTAGCAAGGAGGTTAGGTTTTTTTGAAACACCCTGTATAAAAAACATCGGTTTCGGCACCACGGCCATCATCAGACAATGGTACCAAACAATATGGGACTCAAAATGTGAAAACAATAATCATGGTAACTACAATAAACGATTTCGTCAACGGGTTGGAAGAATCTGAAGTGTGGTCGACCGACTTTGTGTGGTTTTCTTTCATTTTTCTTTTGACATTATATCAGTAGCCGCACTCTCTCAAAAGTTAAAATTATCATTCCGTCTGCCCGGGCAGACGCTAGCAGTATGCCCACCACCGTCCGTTACATCGTCGTCCAGAAAATTGCATCGCATCGTTTGATAGTGCAGTGTATCTCAATTGTTTGCAATCAATTTTGATAGTGATGGTGCGAATTGTATAGATGACATCAATGGAGTCTTATTGAATTCAACTTCGCCAGTAAAGACGCTGTAAATCAATTGAGTGCAGCTGTCAACAGCACTGTTTTGATGTGGAAATATGTGTCTGATGATGGCCTGTGGCGGAAACTAGTTAAACTACTTATTAAAAATATTTTCGTGATCGACAGACTTTGTGACTTTGAGAAATATGAATGGTTTCTACGATTAAATATCAAACGCCCGACGGAGACTGAGTTAACTGATATATTAATTCTTTCAACTGTTTTCAATGTGCAATTCTGATTTCACTAGTTAATACTATTGTTAATTTATTTTTACCAATTTGGTACGATATGGTCATATAATGTAAATGATCATATTATTTTTCAAGTTGTTAACCGATTTAAAAAAATATATATGGTACTGTAGTACTCGATCAACTTATATCAACTCATCGACCCTATCAACATGAAAAATAAATGCTAAATGTTTGTAACACAGAACTAGAGATTAAAATCGGTTCAGCCATGTTAAAAATCTCACCCGTTAACGTAAAATCTTGGATGAAATCTATATTTTATAATGCCAACAGTGAAACGACTAACTGGAGTATTTTTGTACCCCACCTTGTTTTCATATATATTCATGGTATATGATTTTATTATATGATTTGCACTTAAAAAATACACAAATAACAAATTTTATCCAAATATATCGATAAGTTTTATAGAGTATGCAGTACAAAACCATATAAAATATAAAAATCAACTTATAAAATGAATATTTTGAGATATCAATTATTACATGTGTTACACATTATTTTCTTCTGACTGTTCTACACAAACAAACTGTCCGCAAATTTCACATTTGTTACGGGTTTTCCGATCATTTTTCCGAGGACAAAGATTGTACAACGTCCAGATATCCTTTCACCTGCTGGAACCACTGGACGACTACCTAGCTCAGGAACGACCGTAACCATATGGTCACGCGAACACACAAATAACCAAGCAGATTGGTATTCACACTATGAGAGTCAAAATCAATGTGAGCGAAAGAGATCCTACAAATCTGAACTCGAAAAAAGACAGGAATCAACTTGTCTGTCACAGATTTCCGCCGAGTACGTACATTACTAACTGGGGTATTTTTGTTCCCCATCTACTTTGAACGTCTGAAATACTGAATGGCATGGTTTTTTTCATTTGATATTTTATATAAGGATAAGAAAATACATAGAAAGAGCATATTTGAGAGGATTATCGGACATTGTTAGGCAACAAAAATTATGGCCATAAATCACGAAAAAATACGTGCGTTCCTAGGGAGGATAGAAAGAGGAGGTAGGTATTGGATTTTTCTTTCAACTTTCGGAAATTATGAGTTCTTGGGAATATTTCCATAGGCTGATTATGACCCTGATCTCATATTTTCAAATTAGAACACTTGGAGATGAATTCGTGCATTAGAATTCAGACACCAATTTAATTATATAAAAAAATCAGAATTAGATTTGATCAATTTACATCATTATAAATGCATTTCTGGAATATAACTACACATTTGACTCGCTAGGTAATGTGCTTTGGGCAAAATCATGGTTCTTTCTCTTCTAATGGACACATGTGTATAACCTGAATACAGGAACACAAATTTTTAGTGCCTAGATCAGATATATTTTCAAAACTAAAAACCAGACTTTTACCCATCTCTTTTAATCACGGAGAATGTTAAAGAATGCATAACAGCTTATGCAAATTTCGGTTTGAAATATTGATGCAATAAAATAAAAACTGGAACATCATTTTGAGAGCTTGCACTTACTTTTTATAAACAGGTTCGATAATATGATGAATAAGAGCACTTAAGGCGGCAGCTATTGGCTCATACCCAACAGCATAATGTTCTGGCAGCCTTTTTATCAAGAGCTGGGCATTTTCCCAATCTCCCACCAACAATAAGGCTTCACACAAACCCAACTTTTGGTTTCCCACATAATTTTCGCCGTATACTTCTGGGTCTTCAGGAGTATTCTCTTTATCTTTGTTGTTGAGGTTTATTATTTGTAGTTTTCTCACATATTCTTTAGCATCTTTCATGTTCTTGTCAAACTCTTTTACCATTACTTTGTCTTCTGGATACAACTGAAAATAGAAATGAAATCATATGAACCATTAATAATTGCTTTAATAATTTTCAATAAATTATGTTCAATTTTTGTATTTTTATTACCCAATGATAAATGTCATCCAATTTTATTATCTTATGCTGGAGGAGCTGTGCTGTAAGCACATATAGGGACTGTGGAACTTCCTGTTCATTGTTCTTCAAAAATCCAAACTTTGTGGATAATACCTCACTGATGATACGTGGATCGTTCATATATGAATTTATTAATGGAACAAATATTCTGGCATCTTTCTGCTTACTTTCAAAGCTCTCTAAGATCACATCTAATACTCTATTTGGATCCAAATTGAAGCATCCTAAAAAAATCAATCTATCAAATTGATATTAATAGATATATCCTTAGATATAATATAATATATATTGAAATAATCCAATAGGAAGAAAATTGGGCAGACGTTTTTAGTATCCTGGAAATTCTAAAATATTCACAGACTCTAATGAAACACACAGAATCATATTTGGTGCAGAAGTTGCCATAAACAGGTTTATAATGTGCTTATTTTGTCATAATTGATAACGATATTAATAGTTATTTATTATACAAGGAAAAAACGTAGCGGAGGGAGACAAAAAACCGTGAGCGAAAATCTAATATTTTTCCCGTGTATAATACTCTACTTTTTTCTGTGACAGAAAAAAGTACGAATCAATATTGAGATGATATTACATTATTTTGAAATCTGAAAATTATCGACGTGAAATTTTAAGTTTTTATCAGTAGGGACACCTGCGTTGTAGGCATCTTTATCATTCTTTTGAAGTGATCAAATATCTGATGTTACTTCTATCAGTCTAATTCTGTGATTTGATTTCAAAAAATTGAGAATTTAGTGGTTGTTTATTAATATACGTAACCGCGGAGTCGAATGGAAGATAAAAGGACTTGCAGTTCTTTCTCGGTGACGGTATTATTGACTCATTTTTCGGAACTATAGCACAACAAAAGCCATCAACAGTGTATATATATGTGATATATATCCGGGAGAAAAGTACTCACTTTTTTCCCACGGGAAAAAAGTAATTTATGAAAAGTGACATTTTATAACCTGCCAACAGAGATGAAATGCCAAACTTTTTTCCCCGTCACAGAAAAAACAATATTACTATGATACAACAATGTTTTCATCAAGTCAAACAAATGTGAAAAACTTCACAAACAATGAGATTCTAGAAAACATGAAAACACATGTTTTGCTGACACAGTAGCCTTCTTAAGTGAACGCAGGTATACAGGGTGTCCCGAAATTAGCCTGCCAAACTGCACCAGCGGCTTTTACGACCAAAAATAGAAAGAAAACTTTCAATGAACATGAGTCGTAAAATGTTTCCTAAGGTAGCTATGACCCCCTGCCATGGATAGTCATGGTGCATAATATTATGCAGTTAAAGAGCTACTATTGAATAAAGCCTATTATACCTTGCAAGAATTTTATGAAGACGCATTCAATTAAGTTTGTCAGTTTTTATAATTCGTTTTTAATTGTTCAATATCTTTTTTATAGTGTGACTTTTACTGGTATATGTTCTACTCAAATGTTTTGTTCCTTATATATGTGCATATTTTACATGATTTTATGTAGTTTTAATATTAGTTATAGCTTATGATACACATGCTTTGTCAACAAAAACTTTTGATTTTTCGTACAATAAAGACTTTCTCTCTCTCTCTATTCTCATTATGTCGTTTTTGTAAAACAAAACACTCACGTAATGACAGTTACTTATATATGCTTTATGAGCAAACAGTAATAGTTCCTTAATTTCAGGCAATAGATACAAAAAGTCAGATAAAATTTTTCAAGCTGAGTGAGGTATGAAGATTTTCTGCAAACATAAATGATCAAACACTCCAAGATGTATAATGTATATTTTTAAAAATGCAACATACTCACCTATTAAAGATTGCACTATACCAATCAACTCTGAAGGATCAGTATTCTCACTGAATTCATTATTCAATTCTGTAACTAGTTTAGCAAAACCTTCACATTCTTCTCGAAACAGATTGAATTTACGCTGTTTGTAACTGTAAATTAATAATTAATCATAAACAAACCCTCCAGATTTCTTCTGTATGGTTGAAAATTCAATGTACTCATGATTCAAAACCTTTGTTTAGATATTTCTCAACAGAGGTAGTCTCTAAACATGAGAAAGTAATATAGCACTGCATTCATGGTAATCATATCTGAATAAATGATTGTCAATCTCAATGGCAGGTGCAACAAATAAATTATTGGAATACTTACTAAAGTTTTGTCTTCACTTTGATGAACTTGGAATAAAATGTGTTATTTTTCAATACCCCAACTTCTTGTAGTGTATCGATCTCCAACCTCTCTTTCAATAATTTATCAGATAAGAACTAGAAAATGAAATTAGTGAATCAAGAGTATTTCAGAAACAATTCAGCATATACCTTTTCACATTCTTTTATGATGGCAGAAAAATTATTCCTGTCTTTGGAATCATCCCCTTCAGTCTGAGAAGTAATTGCATCAGTTAAATTCAATACATCTAAAATGATTGAGGGGACGTCTGGATGCAGACTCTATAATAAAAAATTAATGAAGTTTGCTAATTCATACCAGTCAATCAACATCAACATACCACTAATTCTTGGAGTGTTGAAACAACAGACTCCTTTCTAATAACACCTTTAACTCCCTTTTCGATGAGCTCATGGATAAAATGGACAATGTTTGATGATTTTCCATGTACATCAAAAAGAGGGCTTTTTGTTTCATCTTTCAATAATGGAATACAAGTTTTGATACTGAAAGAAAACAAACTGTAAGGTCAAAATATACATTTTATTCAGAAAAATTGTGTCATATATTCGGAAAATAAAAAGGCACTGATTTTGTTTGAAAAGGCGTGAATTTTGGTGTTTTCATTAGGTAACTTGGGAGATGCAAAAACTACCGAACAGATTTTCTGCACTTTCATCCAAAAATCATTTCAACTAAACCATAATCGACTATACAGGGTGGGCCACCAGTAACGCCTCGGTCTCTAGAAGGCTAACCACTTATCTTCTTGGAATTCTTCCTCTCTAGGAAGTTGCATGTCAACATAGGCTACCATTTAAAATTATTTCAAAACATACAGGGTGTCCCCAAAAACCATAAAACACTGAAGTTAAACTTTTTTCTATCGAACACCCTATATATTATTTCATTTTGAGATTCTCCCTGGTGAGCTGATTTCAACAATCCATCATACTTGGGGTCTAGCAGTTATAATTACTGAGATATAGGGTGTGAGAAATCGAGATTTTCCAAGTTCAAGAATTTTTTGTGTCTAATCCATTCATAATTGATCAAAACGGCTCACATGTCCCTATCTCAACTTTCGATCAACTATCTACTGACATTTAATTGAAACAAATACAGGGTGGTGCAGAATTCAGAATCTTGATCACCCGGTATATATCCCAATTAAATATCAGTAGAGCAGTAGATAGTTAATCAAAAGTTGAGATAGGGACATGTAAGCGGTTTTGACCAATTATGAATAGTTTCGACACCAAAAATTCTTGAACTTGGAAAATCTCGATTTTTCACACCCTATATTTCAGTAATTATAACTGCTAGACCCCAAGTATCATGGGTCGTTGAAATCAGCTCATCAGGGAGAATCTCAAAATGAAATAGTATATAGGGTGTTCGATAGAAAAAAGTTTAACTTCAGTGTTTTATGGTTTTTGGGGACACCCTGTATGTTTAGAAATATTTTTAAATGGTAGCCTATGTTGACATGCAACTTCCTAGAGAGGAAGAATTCCAAGAAGATAAGTGGTTAGCCTTCTAGAGACCGAGGCGTTACTGGTGGCCCACCCTGTATAATGGACAAATATTTTAAATTTATTAAATAGAATCATCACTGAAATACCTTTCATTTTCATATTTTTTTAAAATTTTTCGGTAGATTTTTAGGTTCTAAAATCATCAATATTGTCAAGGTATTTTTCAAACGGCAAATTTACTGCGAGTAAAAAATGACGTCACGATTTCGTGAGTAGTAACAGACGGGAACGTCTCGTTTGACCCAATTTTCAATTCGCCCAATTTTCGATTCACCCAATTTTCGAATCACCCACCGTCTCCGAACATACCCGAAAGATGCGTTGTTGTACAATAATGCCACATTTCCTCGGATTCAATGAAACGGGAATTATCAACAATCATTTCACATTCCATTCGCCCAATTTTCGTTTCCTCCAATTTTCGATTCATCCAATTTTCGATTGACCCAATTTTCGATTCGGCGAGTTAGGTAGGTTAAATAAACAAATAAATAAATATATACTTTATTGTCTGAAGATATACTCTCATTGACAAAGTTCATATGTGGTAAGGTGAATAAATATTAAATAAATACAGTCAATTTGTAAAATAACGTGACACAAAATAGGATAAAAATAAGAAAAATAAATAACATCGAGCAGATATATAAATATATGATATGCACAGTCACATTGTAAGTATAAAACAGAATTTTACGAGTTGAATAAAACAATATGCAGTCCATTGTCAACATTTCTATCTGCGGAGAATTCGTCCACGGAGTAATATGCTTCTGATATCAGGAGCTTTTTCACAATTTTTTTGAAATTTTTGTTATTTGTAATACATTTAATCTCATTTGGCAGGTGATTTTCTTACCATTGTAAATGAAGGAATTTTTTACTTTGGAAGCTACTGGAATTGGTAAACGTATGTTGAGTATGTTTCTTGTATTGATTTGGGACGTAGCGAAAATTTCATTCGTATATTTTTTGCATCAAAGATACCGTCTCTAAAATAAAAATGCAAGGCAATGTCAAAATAGTGTACTTTTAGGTTAGGTAGGTTAGGTAGGTTAGGTAGGTTAGGTAGGTTAGGTAGGTTAGGTAGATTAGGTAGGTTAGGTAGGTTAGGTAGGTTAGGTAGGTTAGGTAGGTAAGGTAGGTAAGGTAGGTTAGGTAGGTTAGGTAGGTTAGGTAGGTTAGATAGGTTAGGTAGTTTGGAAAAGGTAGTCTCCTTCCTTATGCAGAAAAGAATATTTATTACGTCGAAATTGGGGTCGATCGAAATTTGGGTCGATAGAAATTTGGGTCAATCGAAATTGGGGTCGATCGAAATTTGGGTCGATCGAAATTTGGGTCAATCGAAATTTGGGTGAATCGAAAATTGGGAGAATTGAAAATTGGGAGAATCGAAAATTGGGCGGATTGAACATTGGGTGATTCGAAAATTGGGCCGATCGAAAATTGGGTGAATCAAAAATATAGCAAATCGAAATAAGTACCGTACATACATATTAGGTGTATAAAAAATTACAATAACAATAACAATGATGACCCTAGAATGATTTTCCATTCAGATTTGGCAACAACGCATTGTTCGGGTATATTCAGAGATGGGAGCGAATCGAAAATTGGGTGAATCGAAAATTGGGTGAATCGAAAATTGGGCCGATCGAAAATTGTGTCACGCAACCTACCCAGAGCAGACAATAGCACAGTTCCATGTGTTGAAAAATGATTGGGAACTTCAGAAATATTAGTTATTCAATAATTCATAGATTCTCAATTATGTATTGGTAATATTCCTAATTAGCAAGGAAAAATCAATAGTCTCAAAATATTCCCTTATGATTTGTGGCTTATTGCTAATAATACATTTGTGTAAATAATAACTATATTAATTCACACTAGAGGGCATTTGTAGCGGTGAAAGTGACAACACGGCGCACGAATTGTGGGCGTGATCGTGGCAGTTCTCAGCATTCACCACAATGTTGCCAAGTCTCCAACGTTTGAATGATATTTTGATGTGGAGTATAAGAAATATTTGGACATGCTGGTTGCTGGAATAAGTCAAGAATGTTCAAGTTAGTAAGTAAGTTGTATGTACTATAATATCATGGGTTCCTCCTATTATCGTTTATTCAACGACAGGACTAGTACCATCTTTCTGATAACTTTATTACAAATGGTGACTTGGCAACCTTGCTTCATGAGTGGAAATGGAAGATTATCTGACCAATAACGGAACAGCATGAAAACTGACGTCACCATTTATTCGACGTATCGCCAAATGGCGGCCATGACGGTACATTTGAAATGAGCTCTCAAATTCAACAATTTTGAACAACGCATAGACTCATTATTTACATAAAAAAAGCGTGAGAAGTGTTGCAAACATTATTTCAGGTCCCTAACAACACAGTGGAGTAATTGAATGCCAAAAGTTAATTCAAGAATGGGTAGGAACTCGTTATTTGTGGAAGGCTGGAATGCATATAATTCTATCCCAAATGATACCGGGTGACCAGTTATATTCTGACCCATTTCAAATGCTTATCTCTGAAACCATTCATGTTATCGTTGTGCAGTTATAACTCTGATAGTTTTCTAAGAAAACATAACTTGTTATACATTGTTAGAAAGAGAAAAGACCAGTCTTTCTGAATGTGCAAAAATATACAGGGTGATTCAATGAAATAAAAAAGTTGCCCTATACCTGAATAATGTCTAGTTTGTTTCCGGTAGAATCGGATGTTCAAGAGAGAAGGTGAACCTGTCAAAAAAAACTTGAAAAATATCAAAATAGACTAGTCCAAACTGCACAACGATAACTTGAATGGTTTCAGAGATATAAGCATTTGAAATGGGTCAGAATATAACTGGTCACCCGGTATCAAAACATGTGGTAATCTGATAGCTTTTAAGAAAAAACTTCTGTTATATCTGTGATTTTTTCATATATACATATTACTTTCATCTATACATAGTATATATTCATTATATTGTAATTATTGTCTTCATTGTGAAGTAATTGTATTTATATTTATTATTATTATTATTATGAATATTACTGTATTTTTTTGTATTGTGAATATTAGGATTTTTCCTATTAATAAACTATCTATCTATCAATCAATAATTCATCATCAGTCCACTCGCCAATTTCCGAGGATATTCCCATGAAATTCTGTACACACCTTTTCATCATTGAGGAGCAATTTTGAGGTCAATTTTTTTACTTTTCACCAGTGACGTGTGTACGAGGTTTGAACTAACAATTCCACGGATGTTTCTGAAAAACAACATTATTTTCGGAATCCCCATTCATTTTGGAGCAAATTCAGTTCCTAGAGTCACTTTTATACGACGTATCGTTTTCGCGTAAAAAAATGAGAAAAAAAAAGTTTCTTTTTCAGTTCATTGAGATTGTTTTTGGTATATTGCGAAAATTCTGTAGGCCACTATGAGTAGAAACATATTTTCTTTTGGGACGAATATATTTTTTTACTTTTACCAGTGATGTTCACGTAGGCCTGATACTGAATTTTTTTATTCAAAAAAACTGTACGCCTCTGATTTCAACACCCTGTAGCTCATATATATTATCACCCTATAGACCAAAAAGCTGTGGGTACAAGCGCCAAGAATTAAGAATAAATGAGAGCAAAAATGTGCCTGACGACGGTGTTTGGCCCCCTGTTGTCCTAAAAAAATTTGTGCACTGAGGTGCTAAGCGCCACACTGAGTGCACTTGTAACCTTTGTGCTTTGTTTTTTTTTACATCAAAATATGTGGCTTGGATATGTAAGCATATCTCGTTATTTCAAAGGCCTACTTGGACTTGGAAAAACTTTACAGAGATGACATTATACCAGATCTTCAACAGGAATATTTAAGATTACCATATTCCAATGAGATAGAGGACGATATAAGTGGTACTGATGAGTCAGATGTTGATTATTGAGTCTGCTCAACTGTTTTCAAGAATTTCCTAAAATAATGTTTGTTATGTTGAGCTTTAATTTGTAATAAGAAATTATGTTTGTATTCATAAATTCAATTTAACCCAGTAAATTCAGCAATTTTGAGTAAAACATTGAAGAGTAAAGTGTTCAGAAAATATGGATTTGAAAATTAACAGAGCAACAAGGGGTCAACCGCCATTTTTTTCATCAAAATAAACAATTTTCTTTGAACCAGAAATGGCACAATGTTGTCATTATAGCAATAATTATTCACATGAAAACTCTTAAAAAAATAATATACAGAAAAAGTGGAAATACAATTTTAAACTAAAAAATGTGCACTTTTTGGTCTACAGCGGCGATATAAACTTTTATCCTTAAAATCACCCAAGGACTCAGACCATGTATTATCGGCACTCAATTAATCAACACCCTGTATTAATTACTTTGTAATATTTTTTAAATATTTTTATTACTTACAATTATCACATACCTTCATCAAATATGGTGTACACTTTTCATACAGTAACTCAGAATTGTACTTTTTTAAATATTCTCAATGCCACTGGGTAATACAGAAAAAAATTCCTCAAGTATTTATTTGAGAGTTATTTTTTTGTAACTTCACAAACAACCACAGTATTCACATGTGTCTAAAATTCAATATTTGAAACTTTTGTTTACAGCTCAAAAGCAAAAAATGGTATCATATATTTGTTTTTGTCAGTGGATTCATCTCAAAAACAGGTATTGAGAAAGTCACTTCTATTTTTTTTTTGTATGTTCTATAGTTACTCATAGAAAATACCCCTTATTTTCTATTGGGAATACAAACACAGAAATTTGTCTACCCTGTAGTTTTTATTTAAATAATCCATAAGGAATAGGAAATTTGAAAGTTGTGTAATGTTAAGTCATACTTTTAATAACCCAATAATTATTAGGCAATCCAACGACCTGTCAAATAATTTCAAAATGGCGTCTGGTTGGCAAATAAACCAAAGTCAAGTTTGTTTACTTGAGAACTTTGTGGGTTTTGGAAGCCTCTTACAGTATTATTTTATCGAGTTTCGGCTAGATTCATTGTGAATAATGAAAACTCAGTATGATTTCAAAGAAAAAATTGCCAGTAACGTGAATTGTGGTGGATTGTGGAAGCAGTGCAGATCGGGACCATTTGCTGTTTTGTCACATTCCTACTGTATCACTGTGAAAAACTCTGAGCATTACCCACAGATGAAGGATCTATCAAGAAAAATAAGGGAAATGTGGATAGCAGCAATCAAGAGAAAGAATCAGCAACAGAATCAATCATTAATAAACCAGAGTATATGTGTCAGACACTATTTTCATAACAGGTACCTAAGAAAAAGGATTTTAATATTATTTATATGTACCTACCTACTCTAGAACTGATGAGTTTAGTGTTTCATCCTATGGAAAACTTATCTTTTGTTCATTTTGATAAAATAAACCAATACTCATTACTTTCAATGGACCTACATAGTTTGGAAACATCATGTTTCTATAATACATAAATAAATCATCTACCTTGTAGGGGAACGTAGTGCCTGAAAGATGAGAATATCCAGCTTGGGTCCCATTGCAATATAATATGGGTCATCAATCTCTTGTCCATTCGAAATATGCAAGACTGATGTGGATCAAAAACTGAGAGCAGACAAAAGGTTCAAATCATGAATCAAGCATCAGAACCAAGAGACCTGGTATGTTCTCAAGAAAACACCTAATGACCTAATACTACTACTACATCATTTTTCATTTATTTTAGTGCAATGAAGAAAGTGTCCTGGGAGGTTGGAAAAAATTGGTGAAAACAAGGTGAAAATTTACAAGATTATAAGTACTTTTACAAATTACAGTTTGTTGTGATTTATTTTCATCATTTATAAATGTAAGACAAATAAAGTAAGTATATCAAAATAATTGTAATATTCATTAAATGAAAAATGCATTGTATTATTCCACTATATTACAAAAGATCTACATGAGTCATGAAAAAAATCTTCATAGAACATTATAGTTATTCAGTGATCTGATTGAAACAATAATAAACAATGATTGAATTATATATTTATTATGAATAGGTACATATTTTTTTATAGAACTTGTTGAATCGGAATTTACAAAACCATGCTGATTCTGGTGTACCTAAAATATCTACACATTCAAAATAGAACCCTTTATCACTGTCACAACTAGTCATAGGGGTTCCATCATCAGCACTTGAACACTTACACCAATAGTTCACTTCTGGTGAAATTAATATCCACTCAAAAGTCCAGGTATTATAACTTCAGCATGAAACTTCAAAGCAATTTGTGAATGTTGTTACCAGAAAACACCTTTCTTGGACATTGAAGATATAGTAGTGATTTTGTATTAAACCAGTCAGAGCAACTGTACCTATGTCCATTTCTGCTATTGGTATGATGGGCACAATCATGGTGAGAGTGGTGGCATGGGCCATAAAGCACTTACATCAGTACATGAAACTGTTCCTTATTTACTTGCCCAAGCTTCAGTTACTCATTAGCACAGAATCTGATTGTGAATATTTTACCTATAAAAAAATTGCATGAGATATACATGAATATGAGGTAGGAAATATATTCAAAAATATATGAATAACATAATTTCATCATTCAAAATGTTACTATCATGAAAGTTATTTAGGTATAAAAGTAAAAAGTTACCTTTCCAACTACCTATGACATGAAAATCATTCATCTTCCTGTCTACTTCCTGGACAAAAGTTGTTGAAAAATACTTGTGAACAACAAGGGTTTTGGATGCTCTCATTTGCTCATGAGGGTAGAAACTGTGGGTCACTATAAATAGTAGGAGAGTATAATTATGAGGTAGTCTAATCAGTCAGCAGTTTCAGATGTGAAGGGCTTCAAATCCTTGATCAACATCAGCTTCATCAGATATCTACAAACAAATAATGGTTGTATGATAGTTTCAGGAATGAAAATTTACTGGTCAGTTGAGAAAAATAGCCGAAAAAACAATAAATATTCATGTTTACCTCTGACCAACCTCTGGGTTTTCCTGCAATAACTTCTGGAAATATGAACTCAGCATATTGAAGCACTGTTCAATTCAGCTCCGAGACTCCCTCAAACACCTGATACATAAAACTACCAGAATAATAGGGTGATTCGGGCAAAATACAATTTAATTACAAGTGATGTATAATCTTTGTTTGCCAACCAGACGCCATCTTGTCAACTAAAATGTCACGTGGTTTGGATTGCCTAATTGGCCTCTTTTGCCTACTTCTAGATATTGATGGTAAATTCAACTTCAAAAGGCAAACCAGTATCCCATGCCATAATTCAAACTAATCATTGAGACTATATGATTTATGGTTCATACTTTTTATGAATGACCAGACATGAAGTTGCACTTAATTGCCTGAGCCATTGGGAGTAGAGAACCACTTATTTACTGCCCTAGGACAACAAGTGGTATAAGGGGCAAGAGTGTTTGATGGTCTATTAATTAAGTAGCTGTGGTACCTCCTGCAGTATATAACATCATAACTGCTCATTTTATGTTAATGCTCAATGCAGCTAGTATTAAATCTGTTCTGTTACAGAAGTCATTTGAGTTTCACCATTATGGTAAAAAGTATGGAACAAGAATAACAAGACATTAGAATGATCTTGAAAGGCCCAGAGATTCTAAAAGTGTCAACATTGCTTATTCCACCTTCAGTTATTTATACCAAATTTCATCTACAAACAATGATAGAAGCGAGGATAAAAGTTTCTCAAGGTACCTAATGAAAATGGGGTAAATCAATCATATTCAGTAGTTATTTATATTGATACTATTATTTTGTATCTATGAACTGAAGAAGTATTCTTGAAGCCACAATACCTAGTATGTGTATTGTGTACCCATCATGTAACCGTATGCCAAAATATATATATATTTGAATATAACTCAACACAATCGATATATCGAGGAAAGAATATATGAATCAATCATAATTCAATCCTACTCATACTCACAACTCCTGTTTCCCGGATTTTTCCCAATTTTTCCAAATTTCCGTACCAAACACGCCAGCCATGTTCACAAAACTCTGTCAAATTTCAAATTTCAGTTTTCATTTTTCATAGATATTCAAAATGTCAAAAACTTGCTACCAACCATCTACCAACAAAATCTCATCTAAATCCAAGATCTAAATCTACCAACCTCCAACCCAAGGCTACCTCCAACCTACCAACCATAGAGTTGAATAGCCTTATGACTTGAATAAGAACTAAGAAGAGGATGGTTACAAACAGCAAATCCAGACAACCATCAAGCATTCATCAGAAGGCTCTCTTTGTAGAACACGGAAATAAAAAAGAATCGATTATGGCTTATGGCTGCTGTGTAAATGCGTAAGGCTACAGAAAGGAAGAAGAAGATGAAAACCAAAAACCTTTTGCTGTCACAAGCACAAGTGTCATTGATAACTCACTAAAGAAAAATTCAAAATCAAATATTTAGTTTCCAAAAAAAATGAGGAAAATTGATAAGAAATTAAAAAAATTACAACATGTTGTTTTGAAAGAAACTGGTATAACTTGCAATTTGACACCTTCAAAGGTAAGACTGAAAATCCAATATATATTTGAATTATGGGAATATAAATAATCTCACCAGTATTTTTAGAGCTTGGTGATAGCTAATGTTGGTCTAGTCAATGGTTTGACTGAAGAAATAATTTATGAACATTTCTCCAAGCATGGAATACTGGAGAATATAAAATTATTGCCAGGAAAGTCATGCTGTTTTCTTTCATACAGAAGCAAAGATTCTGCTATTCAGGCATTCAAAAGCTATAATGGGGTGCTCAATATTGCTCAGAATGAAAAACCAATTTATCTGTTATATGCAGAGGCTTTCCCAATAGTGCAGTCATTTAAATTGTGGAATAATACTCCTCCTGGATTGATAATCATGGACAACTTCATTTCATCAGAGGAGGAGCAAAATTTGATACAACTTTGCAATTTTGAATCAAATTCAGCTAGTTCAATGAAACATCGTCAAGTCAAACATTTTGGATTTGAATTTAGATATGACAATAACAATATAGATAAAGACAAACCACTGGAACATGGCATTCCCAAACAGTGTGACTTTTTGTGTGGTAGATTACAAAATACAATTTTCAAAGATTTTTGTCCTAACCAATTGACAGTGAACCATTACAGTCCTGGTCAAGGTATACCCCACCATATAGACACTCACAGTGCATTTGAGGACCCCATAATGTCACTTTCTTTACAGTCTCCAGTGGTTATGGAGTTCAAGAAGGCAAACCAGCACATGTGTGTTCTTCTTCCTCAAAGGTCACTAGCTATAATGTCTGGAGAATGTAGATATGATTGGACACATGGCATAACTCCCAGAAAATATGACATAATTAGTGTAAATAATGGCTTAACTACCTTAGAACGTGGCACAAGGATATCATTCACATTCAGGAAAGTCCTTGAGGGGAATTGCAATTGCTCTTATAAAGCTAATTGTGATTCATTCCAAGAACAAATAGCTGAATCAATAATTGGAGATAGAGCCTCTGATTTGGAGCAAGAGCATGTTCATAAGGTGTATGAGCACATAGCATCACATTTCAGTGATACTAGACATAAACCTTGGCCAAATGTGCTAGAATTTGTGAATTCCTTTGATTCTGGGTCAATCTTGGTAGATGTGGGATGTGGAAATGGCAAATATCTCAAACACAACAAGAACATTTTTGATGTAAGTCTTTGAATTGTTAGTGAAAATTATTCTTTTCATTGCTCTGACTGATTTTTTTATACAGATAGGCTGTGACAGAAGTTTTGGGCTTGTTGATGTTTGCAAGGAGAATGGGTTTGAAGCATTTATAGCAAATTGTCTAAACTTACCTCTGAAAGATGGTTCTGCAGATGGTCTTATAAGCATAGCTGTAATTCATCATCTAGCAACAGAAGTATGGAAAGTTCCTTGTATGTGCATGAGGCAATATTTAGTTATTCATTCCAGGAGAGGCGCTTTCAAGCAATCCAGGAAATGGTGAGAATTTTGAAAGTGGGAGGAAGAGGACTCATTTATGTATGGGCCAAAGATCAATTCAAAGGATCCAAGAAAAGCAGCTACATTAAACAGGATAGAAAAAACAGAATTGAATCAACTGAAAATGAAAGCATGTCCCATGAAAGTAATAAGGAAATGACTGTTCTTGATGGCATATCTCTTCCAGTTCATGTTAATAGGACTCAGTTTAAACATCAGGATGTTTTGGTGCCTTGGAAATTAAAGGGTGATAACAAAGAAAAAGATGTATTCCTTAGATATTATCATGTTTTTGAAGAGAATGAACTTAGAAGTTTATGTAAAAGGATGCCCAATGTTGCTGTAATTAAAAGCTATTATGATCAAGGTAATTGGTGTGTGGTTTTCAATAAAGTGAAATAGCTAAATATATTTTAGTATTGTTTATTTACATATTTTTGATATTTATCATCATTTATAGAACAGATGGTCTATACATTTAGGTGGATACATTATTTCACAAATATTGGGAAGCTATATCAAGCATTATTCTATTTTGAAAACTGATTGCATTTTCTATTTGTTTATGTTTCAAGCATAGGTTTACTGTGTAGACTTTCTTACTGACTGCATACGCCACATTATGAGCAGCACAGTCAATTGGAACAGTGAATCATGAGAAATTATCTCTGGCTGAGGCTACAAAAACTAGAATTTATAACTTGTTTCATGAATGAAAATTCTTTGCTTTGTCCTATTACTATTTGCTATCCTGCTGTCTCACTTTTTCATGATATTTGGTATTTTTGTGGATCCTGAAGATATTCAATATGACTGAATGGTTGTCTCTTAAAGCACAGTTTAAAGGGAATTAATATGTTTGTTATAATTTTCTGACCTTTGACTTTCAACTCACAAGTTCTTCAATGAGATAACACTGGAGGTTATACCTATTTTGCTTCCATACATTGATTATGATTATTATTCATATCTTTGATAAGAATGGATGAGTAATTTGAATGTTTATTTGACTTTGCCCAACAAAAAATATGTACCATTAGTACCAAAAAGAGATGAATCCTCAATGAAACAAGCACCACAGAGTTGAGTAGTTATATTTCTACTTGGTTGAAACATGCATTTCAAGTTTTTTTATTTTCTCTTTGGTGTTCATATGTCAGTATCATATGCGGAAGTTTTTAATAAATGTAATAAGCTGGAGAAGTATCTTGTGAGAAAAAAATATTGTTCTTACAACCCAGATGAAGTTTTAGATGTGGTGAGTATCAAAATACAGAATAGTACCACAAATTTCAGAAAAGAATAGGTGCAGGTAGGTACTCAATTTCATTTCTTAGGCACAAATAATTGCAAGACATGGTTATAAGTCTGAAACTCATGTGGTGGTGACTGAAGATGGGTATATATTGAAAGTACACAGAATTCCAGGATCAAAAGAAGGAAAACAAATAAGACAGCCTATATATTTACAACATGGCCTATTGGGAAGCAGTGCAGATTGGATTATAAATGGAAATAATTCTCTAGGTAAGTACATAGTAGAAAATATTTCACTATTCAATTAAATGAGTAGGTAATTATACTTTTTGCCACTGTAAATCGGAGTGGTGGCACCTTCTATTTAATTCATCTCCATTTTTCACACCATGTATCTGAAAAATCAACTACACATTACTTTCATTTCAAGTCATAAATAATCATATATTACAAAGTTTTGGTATTTTAAGTACCTATAGGGATTTTTTTTTTTTTTTTTATTTATTTATTGAAAATGTTACTTCCAGTCAGAATCAAGTTCTGGTATAAGGAAGTATAGTTAACAATAATACCTAAAACTATACAATTATAATAAACTGATGAATAATAAAATATTTGAAAACATTAATTATTAAATTTTGACAAATCATTTCATATTGGTGAGCAAAAATCAATTTGAATATGAATCAAAAGTTGGAAAAAAAAACAAGTCATCTATTTCGTTCAGAAATGATAAATTTTTTAAGATGGTATTTGAATTTTATTGTATTTCTGCAATTTTTTATATTATCTGGTAATTTGTTATATTCCAAGAGAGCAGCGTGGGTGAATCTTTTTTGGCCTATAGAAGTATTAGCGACATCAAGATGAAATAAACCATGTTGTCTAGTTTGATAATTATGAATTTCATTGTTTCCTGTTAAAATAAAATTAGATTTCAATCTTTTATTTATGATATTGTATGTAATTTTCAGTCTTTCGATTTTGAACATTTCTTCTAATGAGAATGATTCAGTTATTTTATATAATTGATTTGTTGGTGTATCATATGGTAAACGATACAGTACTTTCAATGTCTTTTTATATAATGCAGATATTTTATTAAAATTGTTTTTTGAACAGTATCCCCAAACATTTATCAAATAGTTAATACGACTGAGTATATGAGAATATAGAATTATATTTGCAACTTTTTTATTCAGCTTGGGACATCTTCTCAGGGCTCCAATAATAGGGGATATTTTTTTTTTCAAAACATTTATATGTTTGTCCCACTTCAATTTATCATCAAACCAAATCCCAAGATACTTTTTCTCATTAGTTTGTTTCAAAGATTCATTTTTAATTCTGAGATTTAAATTTATATTTTGTTTATTTTTTTGTTGAAAAATCATATATTCAGTTTTATCAGTATTTATTGATAAGAGGTTTGAATGCAGCCAATTTTCAAATTTCATCAAGTCTCTGTTTATTATATTTTCTAAAATGATAGGATTTTTATTTTCATATAAAAGTACCGTATCGTCTGCATAAATAGTGTAATTACATTCTGTATCAATTTTCGTGATATTTTGAATATATAATAAATATAAAATTGGTCCTAAAACAGATCCTTGAGGGACACCTTTAGTCATCGGTAGTCTATTTGAATGAAAATCAACTTTTTTTCAGGATTTCTTTTGGCTGATGAAGGATATGATGTTTGGTTGGGAAATGCTAGAGGAAACACATATTCTAAAGCACATACTTCAATTCCCGTTACTAATCCAAAATTCTGGAATTTTAGGTAGGTATGCCTAGATTTCAAATAGATCTATTTTTCTCTGATTATTTTTCAAACATTCACTTACTAACTAAAAACTAAAAAAATTTTTCATTTTAGTTTTCATGAAATGGGCTCAACAGATTTGCCAGCAGTTTTATACTACATCAATAATACTACTAGCCGACCTGGTGAAATAATTTATATTGGCCATTCCATGGGAACAACCATGTATTTCATATTTTCCTCCATGTATCAACAGGCGGCAAAAAATGTGAAGATGATGATTGCCTTAGCACCTGTTGCATATATGGCTAATATTAAATCGCCTATCAAATATCTAGCCCCGTTTTCTGGAAATATAGAAGTAAGTAAAAAAAACTGAAATTTCGGTCACAGCAGATCATTTATTCATTCATTCATTATTCTCCTAGACTATCTTTCTAAAATTATGGAGTAGGAACTCCAAAATATTTTATTAGCTTCCTCATCTTATAATTTTTTCCACATTTTGTTTTCCTTAGTAGGATTTCAGTTAACGAACAATTCCATCTTGAAACTAAAAGGAAGGTACTCATGATCACACATCATCATAAAGATTATTGCATCAGTATTTATAATTGGAAAAAATATATTTTCACATCAATGGATTCATTTTTTATATAAACTAAAATACTATATCAATATGAGTACATATATTTGTCTATGTCATCCTGTATGTCTAATATCATTAGAGAAATCTAATGATTTATAGATTCATGAATCATTTTGATTCTTTGGTTTCAGTGGTTGACTAAACACTTGGGATTTAACCAGTTTTTGCCAAACAATAAAATAATGAGGATTTTATCATACCAATGCGAACTCTTCAATTTGAACACAGAAATTTGCGAAAATTTGATTTTTGCTATTTGTGGATTTGACAAGGAAGAATTCAATGAGGTAAGCACCAGCACCAATTAATACATAATATAATAATCAATATTATTCGTCTATGGTAAATGAAACTTCATTTTGTAGAAAATTCTGCCTGTTGTACTCAGCAAAGATCCAGCTGGAACTTCAACAAAAACAATGGTACATTTTGCCCAAGAGATAAAAAATAATGGCAACTTCCAACAATTTGACTATGGTTCTAAACAAAATATGATTGAATATGGAACTATGGTGCCACCAAATTATAATGTCAGCAGCATAAAAACACCAATATATCTGATGTATGCTATGAACGACTGGTTAGCTAACCACATAGTAAGATACTAATTTTTCTAAAATTTAAATCAGATCAATATTCTATCGGGAAAAATGACATTAGGTTCGCCGATCCATTTCCATTTGATACAGATCTTCAGTTCTATATCTTTGCTTATAGAAGCTCATTCTTACAGTAATTTTATTTTCATAATTTTGGGTCACATTCAAGACTATGATGACTGAAATTTATGTAGCATAAAGTTATCTAAGATTTGAAAGCCATCACCAATAAAACCCTACCGACTGCGCCATTTCATAACAAATATTGAAAATAGGTACCTACTTATACATGAATTGACTAATAATGTTACTTACTATGTAGTCGCTTCTTGATCTACGAAAAAAAAAAATGAACCAACAATGCCTTGAGAATGGCTTAAGTGTAAAACACTTTCCAAGTCGAAAAAACGAACTGAACTGTCCAAAATATTGTTCGTTATTTTTTGCTGTGTTTTGTTTACAAATTGATTTACAATATTTTGATTTTCAGGATGTTCAGAGGTTAAGCTTGAAACTCAATTCGTTGGCTGGAATGTACAGGATCAATTTGGATACATTCAACCACGTAGATTTTCTGTTTGGAAAACGTGCAGAAGAGTTAGTCTATGAACCTATTCTCGAAGTTATCGGCAATCATACCGAGTATAATGAAGAAGCATTTGGATAATTACATATAGATAACAGCATGTAACAGTATGTATTGACGCCACCTTCATAAAAAAAATATTTGATTTAGGTAGACTTATTTTTATTCTGGTATCTGGAACAGCTGTGAACAAGAACATAACAGTGACGAATTCGAAAGTCATTATCAAAAAATTATGATTTTAATCATGAGTCATAATTTTAGATTGAACCTGACGAAAAAATATGTATTTTCTTTCTGTCCATAAAAAGTAATGTCCCTGAAATGTAAAAATCTCCACACTCCAACAGGTTGAGTTGGGTTGGGAAATATTAACTAACAAAGGGCTATCTATACGCGGGAAATTTTTTAGATGCTTAAGTAGGTAGTCTTTTCGATATTTTTTGCTGAAAATTTAGTGACATCCTGTACATCCAAGGTAATTGATGATATCCAAGACATCGTTGCTGAATTCAGTTCATTTGGAGCTATTATGAATTGAAAAAACATCTTTGATTCAATATTTTTTATTATAAAATTGTATATACAGTCCATTGACAAAGTCAATTCATATAAAAATAAATACTGTTGGAACACCAGGGCTCATGAAAACTTTGGTCTTAAGATAATCTAAATAAATAATTGGTCATCCACCAATAACATAACATTGATACATACAAAAAAGTTGAATAGGCAAGAAAAATTGTAGTTATATTATTTGTGGATTCTCATTAACTATTACAAATACAAAAAACTAGAGACTAGATAACAAACCAATGCAATAACCAAAAAGTATTTCCAAAATAAATTTGTGCACAATTTCTAAACCAGTAATTTTTGTGAAAATTTTGAAAATGGTTCGGTAGATCACAGAATTGTATTCTCTATAAAACTAAAATACTTAAAACATAATGACACCACAAACTAATAAATTAAAACACTTTTGTGACACCACTATCGGAGGTAAAATATAAAATTAAACGTTTTTTGAGATCATAAGAACTTGAATCTTGTTAAAATCAAGAACATACTAAACTAGAACTTTACATACTGGTTACACAAGAGATCATCAGTGGTGATATTCGAGAAAACAAATTTTTGGCTACTTGTTTCACAACACACATTAAACTTCATCGATAAAATTAATTTTAAAAAATTAAATAACACAAACAAATTTGCACTTTTGCAAAGTCAACGAAAAATAATAATCCACTAGACTCCTTTTCAGCAATGATTTGCAATTCTCTATATCTCCATATGGCTTCCTACCAACGTTTCCATAGAAGTAGGTATTTTTTATTGTGGAGTAATAAACCCAGAAACACACCAACATTAAAAAAGATAAAAAATATGCACATCTTTTACTAAGACAATTTCAAAATTTGAACGTCATCTCATCACACTACTTGTAGAACAACATGTATAGAAAAAATGTTTTGAAATTGGGTACAAAAATATAATTTATTTATTGAACTATTACACTAACTGCATCAAGGAGGAACCAGCCCCTTTTTTGGTAGGCAAAATCCTACATGATCCGGCTCGGAGGACCAGTAGTATTCATGATTACATCAGCAACTGTGTATATGACTGTCTTTATATCTTCAAAAAATTAAGACTTAGTAAGTACTTTTTTCAACATCATATGATCTGACTTAAAAATGAATTGAATCATATTACGATATTGAAAAAATCATAAAATCTTTGAAAAGTGACAATGAGGTTCAAACATGACTAACATAACCTACATGTTTATGTTACTCTCAGAAATCAATCAACATCCAAAATTCCGTTCGAATACTACATGGAATAGGTAGTAATTAACTCAGAGTAAACTGATAAAACCGTCAACAAATTTTACTGTACTCCGAGAGTCAATAATCGAACGATCCTGTCTGAGGCGTAAATAGCTGATATTTTACCAAGTGAAAGCCACACGCCGACTTATAGTGAGCTGGAAGTTCACGAAATGATACATTCGAAAGTAGACGTTTTCGAACCCTGTCGGCATTTCCGGCTCGCCGTACCGCGGACTCTTGTACCCTCTCATCGCACTCGTCTAAGTCCTTTCGAGCGTAGGGGGCACCACTTTGTGCACCGCTTTGTCGATGAGGCCCACGAGGACCTCGGACTGATGATCAACGCGTATACATATTGCAGCTAGTAATATTGTTGTCAGCTGTATATTGGGGAAAGGATAAGTAACGAGATAAGTCACCTATCTCTGATTGGATACCGTTAACCGGTTAACCAAATGCACTCAATTTCGAAATAAATATTCTCTTCAAGTGTAATACGATGACGTTCGAATTTCGCTAGCGCATGCGTTATTGTTAATCGTTAAAACTTCCGCCTTAGTAAAGAATGAAAATATTTTGTATCCTACAATGATAGCGTGTTTCTGGGATTACTACTAGCACTCCATAGTCCATATGAGGGAAGCAAGATCCTGTATGGTCTAAGGCGTAAATGGCAATATTCCGAATTCAACTGACAGTACTGAGTCTGCTGATGTTCCATTCTGAAATCACTTTAGAGGGGAAAGGAATGTTACATTTTTACCCGTTGATTTTGAACATCAAGTCTTGTCTTATCAATAATAAATTAATAATATAATTTCTAATATCAGAAAATGCAGTTTGAAGTAGAGCAGAAAAGCAGCAGCATTAGCAGAAAGAAAGAGGTAAGTATTTATTAGCACATATGAATAAAAAGGTTCATTCACAATCATAGAAATTATGGAGGCTACAACTACAAGAATCGATTGCTCTTCCATATTGAATATCAAATTTTCGAAATTTAACTCAAGCAGAAGCATTAGCCAGATCAATGACGGTCAAATATCTAGTTCAGATAAACGAGAAACTACCAGAAGTGTTCCGAATTACAGCACTGTATTTTTAGTTTTATATTTCGGAACGCAGATTTTCAGCAGAGTTCGTGGATCCACTGACAGTACTGACCAGTTGAATTCGAAATAGAGCCAATAACTGCTATCCCGCCAAGAGGAAGCCACACGCCGAATCATAGATGCCCAAAAAGGAGTCCATTCCCATGGACCACAAGCACACGGAACGGAAAGAAACGCCACATTCAAAAGTAGACGTTCTCGACCTCTGTCGGCGTTTCCGGCTGGCCGTACCGCGGACTCTCGTACCCTCTGACCGCATTAGTTTCTGTCCTTTCGGGCGTAGGGGGCGCCACTTTGGACACCGCTTTGTCGATGAGGCCTACGAGGAACTCGACTGTCCTCGGGCTGACGTTCAGCGCGCGGCAGATGTCGTGCAGAGCGACCTCTGTCGAGGAAAGCTTGAGGCCTCGGACGGCGGAACTGATGCAGGCGGCAGCGATGACCGAGGGCGGCGTCTGGATCAGACTGGGTTCTGAAACAATGGAAGAACGATTGTAAAACATGGCGGAAATAATGAAAAAATGAAAGTGTAAAATAACGCAGTGCTGTCTGTATGTTAATCGGAATTTGGAATTTCACTGATAGAAACCTAAAGGAGAAATTCAATCGATAGTCAGTGATACATTATTGTTTGATGATACTTTGTATTTGATGACATTTTCATAATATAATTACTACTCATTTTTATAATTTGAATCAATTGAGTCTACAATTTGGTGACCCCGACGTGATATTATGGGTTGAGCAAAGGCGAGATTATAAAAATTTTAGTATATTTGAACATCCATGTTAGTGATTCGTTGGAATTTTCCGATATGAAGGAAATGCTGACAGAGTACATTAAAAAAACTTAATGCTTATAAGAACCCATTCCATGAAGTTGACTACAGGAGGATAATGTATTTTTTTTTTCTGAAAAAAATTATAATTACTATCCAGTCTTCTTATAAGGGTTACTTATATCTTTGAGTATTCAAGTGTATATAATCATAGATCTAAAATGATATAATCAAGGGTTATATCGATGTATAATTTGTATCAATTGTATCCACAGTAATATTGAAAAATAGTTATTTATTATACAAGGGAACGGTTTGTTGTCTCCCTCCGCTACGCGTCGGGAGACAACACAACCTGGAGCTAAAATCTAATATTTTTCCCGTGTATAATACACTATTTTTTTCTGTGACAGAAGAAAGGACGAATCAATATTGAGAAGATATTACATTATTTTGAAATCTGAAAATAATCGACGTGAAGTTTATAACAGTAGAAACACCTGCGTTGTAGGCATCTTTATCATTCTTTGGAAGTAATCAAATATCTGATGTCACTTCTGTCAGTCTAATTCTGTGATTTGATATCAAAAAATTGCGAATTTTGTGGTTGTTTAGTAATATACGTAACCGCGAAGTCTAATGCAAGATAAAAGGACTTGCAGATCTTTCTCGGAGACGGTATTATTCATTTTTCGGAACTATAGCACAACAACAGCCATCAACGGTGTATACATATATATGTGATATATATCCGGAAAAAAAGTACTACTTTTTTCCCTCGGGAAAAAAGTAATTTATGAAAAGTGACATTTTATAACTTGCCAACAGAGATGAAATGCCAAACTTTTTTCCAGTTACAGAAAAAATACATTTTAACTTTTTGGACGTTTGAACGAATCTGTCAAAAAAATCCTGAAAAAGGAGGTTATTTGATCACTAGTGGGGCTGTGTGTCAATTCGACATCTGTATTGGTAGAGAAGGTCAGAACAAGAAATATCGCTATAATACAGGAGTTATCGTGAGAATGGTCGATTCTGATTGGTTCTCGAGAACAAGATTGGAAAAGTCCTCATAAAAATGTGAAATAGTTGCGTCATTTTAATTCTTTTGCTCATGGAATGAGTCCCTATAATGATGTGAGGAGGTTTGAACATTTTCAAATACCTATCCAAAATTCAATTTGGAGGAATTTGACCTTGAACTAAAAAAAATTAATTCAGTCATTCAATGATTTATGTCCTGGCAAGTGGAAAAGTCATCCATATTGTCGGAATTGGAATCTTCCAAGAGATCCTGTACCTATCACTATATTATTTTCTTTAGATTTGCTATGAAAATATGTTCATATTGGCTCTTTCGCGGTATTTTGTTTCTATAACTAATTATTATTAAACGCGTATCTTGCCGAAAATATTCCACCTAACACAGTCCTATGACATCATAATGTATGGTCAAGCATACAGATTCCAGGGTCAAGCAATACAAAAATACGGAATACGGAATATTGAAATGAAAATAATAATATGCAACTTATGCAAGTTGTCTGATCTAATCTACGGGAATTACCGTTTTAAAAAATCCCCGACTAACGCAGTGGTTCCCCGGATCCCTATAGTTGCATATTTGTATTTAAACGAAAGTCGCTGTTGCCAGATTTAAAAAAAATATAGTTTTTTTGCCAAGTTGATACATTTTATTTCCAAATATTGCTATTTATTTAGAGATCAGGAGATTATAATATCGAGATATATATTAATATCCGAGCAGTTTTTGTCCTAGTCCGGGAAGTACATGTTTCGTGGACTAGGTCGGAAAGAACTATACCTACATCGTTGTCATTCGATCTTATATGAAAATATACTCGCCTAAGAAAATAGTATTTTCTGTTCAAACTCAACGGTTTTTGATGTAGTGAGCTTATGGTTCTTTCTCGCTTAGAATTTTTGCCTTATCAGGACATGCTGTTGATTTTCGAATATGATATTGGCCTAAAAGTGACTCGCCAAATATTTCAAGTGTGTCAAGAAAACCAAATGTGGGCATAAATTGCATGTATTTTATCTTTTGGCTAAGTGCAAGCATCCCTTTTGGGCTCTGGCACCAATTCGAGTTAGTCAGTACTGTTTTTGAGAAGCTGTCGTATTGGCATACATACAAATTCGGGTTGTTCTCTGTATATTATATCATATCAGTCGGGGTTGATTACTAAATTCAGTTTATAGTCAACTAGTGTTTTATTGATCATTATAAATCGAGTAGAAAAAATACCTACCGTCTTTGACAGACAAGATCGTAACATTTTGGGGACTTGTAATTACGTGAATTACCATAATTACTATTCTGAAATCGAGGTGGGTGAACAAAGAAATGCGAAATCGAAGCAGCAGAAGCAAATTTCAAATTCACGGAGAATAGAGAATATGGAATATACAGGGTGCTCTATTTGAAAATCAGAAGTGCAGAAAGATAATTAATGTTTCAAGATATCAAAATCCTCGAGATTCTCAGTAAGGCATCATGCAGTCCTATAATAAACCGCCGTTATCCATGGAAAAGATGAAAATGTTCATTCGAAAAAAATCCTGTTATCATCCACCTGCGGCATCATTAACTAAAACAAAATTCACCCTTTGCCACCACGTCAGTTGGTCACAGTTTTTCTACCGTCAGACCAGACGAAACGAACAACCCAACCACCTGTTCTCTCACTAACGCTAATAGCTCTCGATAAAGGAATAAATGGAAAGGGGATAATCACTTGACAAGAGGCACCATTTTCCGAACTCCTTTCAAGAGTCAAGACTTCGACGGAGGAATTAAAAATTAAACTAAAATAATTACTGCTCGGCACGAGTCTGATGATGAGGGTAAGAAGTTTTTGGTGGCGTTATGCTCGGCTGAATTTTATTCACAACATATCGGTTTACGGTTTCTACAAGACGTTCAATTAAATTCAATAAGAAGCGCCAGTTGGTGTTACCAGTACTACCAGTAAACGAAGTGTAACGATTTTTTTGTTTTATTCGCTTTGTTTCGGTTATGCTACTTACCTACACGTTTGTTTTTTTGGAAAACTTGGATTCATATTGGGTCAAACCCATCTACGGCGAGTATTGTCCAAAAACATAAGAACATCATGATTTGCTTACAGCTTCTTCAAAAACATACTCGTACCGTACAATAAACTAAGCTAAAAACGCTTCAATTCCGTGACAGAGATCGTGAAAGATCGTTTTTCTACAAAAGTTCGCGCGTTGATACCAATACCCAGGTAGCACATCATATTGGCTGGAACCCGATTTCATATTGGGCCGATATAGATATATCGTACATGCGAAAAATAATATAGGTCCAATATGAGAGTATATTGGACAAACAATATTGGAATGATAATATTGGTGGAATATTGGTTCAACCTGAGCTGAATATGGATTGACGGCTACAATATTGGAGCAATATTGGTTGTAAAATTCGTTAACAATGTGTTGAAAAACATATCTATGAATGTTATATAATATTGTTTTACGAATGTCGATACAACAACATCGTATACATATTGTTCCCGACATTTACAACCAATATTGCAATTTGAACATTCTCCCCATGTCGATTCTGAAGCGGTTATGCAATATTGTATATTCAAGCTAAACGGCATATCGGTTGGATATTGTTTTAACAATATTTGAAACATTATATTCACCCATCTTGATTGATATCATTTTACCTATATCATGCGGAAGATATCGTATACAATTTGCTTGTTACATTTATAACCAATATCGCGATTTGAATATTGTCCCCATGTTGATTCTGAAGCGGTTGTGCAATATTGTATATTTGAGTTCGACGGCATATTGGTTGAATATTGTTTCAACAATATTCGAAATATCATATTCACCTATCTTGATTAATATCATTCTATCCATATCATGCAGAAGATATCGTATACATATTGTTTCCAACAATAATAACCAATATAGCACATTTCGATTCTGAAGGGGTTTTCAATGATTCAAATATGAATATCAATAACGGCAATTCAATATGTATCTTATATCGGACATAAAAGAGAAAAACAATATTGTATTTTCAAGTTCAATTGCATATCGGGTGAATAGTTTTCTAGCCATATTCAGAAAATAATATCATCTTATATTGGCTGATATGTGATTCACTATATCATGTAAGCAATATTGTTCACATATTGTTTTGAGAATACATATCGATATCGGAATTTCGATATTTATTCCATATTACGCACTCCTAAACCGATGTCGATAGATGGCGCTATAAATGATTGGTAACGTACTCTCATTGCCGATCCGACGAGAGAATTTAAATATTGGCTCTAGACGATTGTGAAGTATTATAACCTGGAGTAGGGGTTAACCGTGATCAACAAGGCGGCTTCCCTAGGGCAAGGCCCTCCCATTGCACTCCGGCTGGGCTGACCTTTGTGATTATTCCTGATGCGAATAACTCGCAAATATTGGTATGAAAATATTCCACCAATATTATGAAGACAACATAGCTACATAATGATTTTCAATAATGTACCAATATTCCCAAACAATATTGCACCAATATAACTTCACGAATATACCAGCAATATTGGTATGAGAATATTCAACCAATATTTCTGAGACAACATACCTTCATGATGATTTCCAATGATTCACCGATATTTCCATA